AAATTAGGTAAATATGCAATTTAGTATGCGATAAGGAAATGCGCGGCTGACTGATATGCGCGGCTGACTGGTAAACCACGTTAGCTTAATTTAAAGGCTTTTATACTTTTTAAAAAGAGTTTATCAAGTGAGTTATAATTGAGCTTTTTAATTATTATAATTAAAACTATTAAGTTATAATTAAAGCTATTAATATTATAAATTTTAATAGAAAATAATTATTATTATAAATAATCTTGTTAAGTAAATTTAAAAACGCGTATATTAATTTAAATATGAAGCAAGTACTTTACTATTCTATTAAAACCATATTCTCGTATTTATAACTCATATAAAATCTTTTCTTTAATAACAACGTACCTAGAACTCTCGATTCCTACAGCAACTATCTGCCACTGCCACTGACCACTACAACTGCAGCAGCCTACTATGCGAGCAGGTAGGTATATGTGCTTGTTTTTTCTTCGAGCATCTGTGTAATCAGTGCGAATCGGGGACTTTCCAAGGGAACCCTGGTATGGCATCCATGCACAGGCTGCGTCCACGACAACTCTCCCGTCGCGACCATGTCGCGATGTCACAAAATAAAACCATCTCCAGTTTCCGGCAGCACGCAGACGGCGCAGTTTTGTCTATAGCTGACAAACACCCGGCTGCCAAAAGCTTGTATTCGAACGACGTGTTGAGAGGTGTCGGAGTGGACGATTTCCAGGACGGACGACCATGAACTGAATCCTGATGAAGGTGCCTTACATAATACCCTCGCTGGAATTGACGGATCATGTGATGATGAGACGCGGAAAGGCATCAAGACTCAGAACCAATTGGCGAGATGTTAGACCAAAAAGATACGTACTCGCTTTCTGACGTCTCTGTCGACAGGTACTTCCTCGGTACCCAGACCCTTACCCTCTGCTTCCCTTCCCAATACTTTGCCCTCCCAATTCCATCATCCGTACCCGTCCGGAGCCGCTCTTTTTCATGAGATGCCGTGCAGCAACTTGACAGATGCAACCCCAATCTAAACGAGACTTCCCAATGGAATGGGACCCCTTCTTTCCGCGCAAGCTAATGGAAACTAGGGAGAGCGACTACGCACGTCCAAGACACCGCTTTCGACGGGCATCATGGCGGCAAGGCCGACCACGAGGCGTCGACACTGAATAGTTTGCCAACTAGCCACAGATAGACCAGTGCCCTGAGATTCCCAGTCTCAGCTGGCTTCTCAGCTGTGGGCGCCGTGGGCGGGGGACCATTCCACAAACGCCTCCAGGCCGGCGGCTAGTTCCTTTCCAGCCCATTGTCTGACAATACGCTGTTCTTGCTTCTGCGCCTAGAGGGATGGGGTTCGCGACCAATCTCTTCATCACTTTCTTGGCCTCCTTGCTTCCGTGATACTTTGGGCTCTTTCGTTCATCAGGGAGAAAGCAGGGGTAGGGGCGGGAAAAAAAAAGTAAAAGAATGTCAGGGGCCACGAAGCGCTGGAATGCTCAACACCCTCATTTTCGACGAGGTGTAGAACGAGTTTCCATCTTTTGCAACCCTAGCCCCGAGTACTTACACTTTGACTCCATCACACCGCCAAGACCTAGATGCAGCTGTCTGCTCATCGAGCTCCGTCCCCGGCCACACCTTCCAGCAGAAGACCAGGAGCTTAGAGCTAGCCTTCCGGGTAAACACGACAGCAAGAAACATGCTCGTGAACCGGCCCGCGACGGACGCCACAGATGCAGTCATTAATGCTGTAAACATCCGATACGAGCCACTCTAGGGCCGACGTTCACGGAAAGACTGACGAATGTTTCTCCGGCTCACGATGCTCCATTGGCTGACGACGATGGCGACAGCGGAGCGTGCTAGGCCGGCCTCTCCCACTCGCCCGGCTCCTCGAACGTGGAGCCGTGATGGGCAAAGGCAGCACCAGCTCCGGCGCCAGCGGGCGCCGTCGATGCTGGGGAGGCCGGGCGCGCGTCCCTGGTGGCTTGCAATGGGCCATGTGGGGTGGCAGACGCGCAAGAATGCGGTGCTCGTCTTTCCCATCCTCCCCCTCATGCCACGGATTGACCAAAGCACCATAGCCTCATGGTCTGTCTGGGGAATGCTGAAACGCTCGAGGATAAGTTTTCGGAAGGAGGAGACAATAGTGGTCAATACCAGACTGGCATGGAGCGAACGATAGCCAGATTCCACGCAACCGCTGACATGTTCATCGCGAGGGATGTTGAGCAGGCGCGTGGCAGGATGAACCAACGACGGATGGCCCCCAAGTCAAGCGAGCGGCCTGCGCCGTACCAGAGCAACAGAACAACTAATTTTGGCGTCCAAGGGAGCCGGCAAGACCATTGAACCCGCGTTCCTCCCGGCTGTGCGGACTCGACTTGCATGCTTGCGTCTTCAGATGAGATTGGCGCAGGGGCATTGACGATCATAGATCAGGACCATGGTCGGCATTTCCAGCGACAGATGCCAGGCACTGCAGTAATGACTGCACACTGCTGCCCGGTCAAAACACATGACCTGCTGTCCGCTCGTTTCAAACCCCCCTTGTCCTAGACATTTCAGAGTTTCGTCAACGGTTGGTCGCGCCAGATTTTGCGGGAAACGGTGGAGCAATCCGACAGACGGACGGCAGAAGATGCCGTTGCGATGCGGCACGTTGTATGCTGTTCATGCTGAAGGACCGCTGGAATGAGCTGCGACAGCGGCCAAGACATGGTGCATTCCTTCAGACGTCGAGAGATATTGGCGACGAGGAGCGAGGCTGGAAGCAGGCTACTTGGCAGCATTGGCGGAGGTTCGTACTGGGACTCCAATGTCTCAGGGAGTAAACCTTCCAATCTAGGCGTTAATTGTTCTGCCAAACTCTATCCGAGAGATGTTTTGACAGCTGGACAGTTGGTGAAGTCGCTGGAGTAGAACGACCCCGAAGGAACCGAGCGAACCGGCGCCGTGTGTCCCTCAAGAGCAGCCGCCATCCCAGGGGGAAGCTCCGTCGAAACCCTCTCTGTGTCAAGGCCATTGCCCACGGTCCACACGGTGACGCGTGTGCGAATTGGACCGGATCACAGAAGGTTCACGCTGGGATGCCGGCGAGAGCGAGACTGAAGACAATTAGACAAAGTTGGGGCGGCTGTCGGAGAGAGTTGGGCGCATATCGGGCTGTCCGTTGCTTCTGAAGCTGCTCGCGGAGGATGGCTTGACGAGCTGCTTGGCCAAACACCTTGAGCCAGAAGACGAGGCTGCGTTCGTCCTTGCTCGGAGCATCTGCAAAAGAGTGTGGTCTCGAGTTTTATTTGTCCTAGACATTGTCCCCGTGTCAACATCTGCGATGACGGGACCTGTCTGGAGCGAAGCTAACGTCGAGATCGAGTGTGAGTGAGCTGCATATGGGCTTGGTGCCATGCTGTGGTGTTGCAGATGTGACGGGTACGACGGGTGAAGAGAGACTTGCAGATTGTCGAGTCGGGTCTAATTGGATCTTGGGCGGGGCTGAAGCTTACGAAGTGTTAGTGGCTTGGCGCTAACTTACGTGGTGCGGACCACAACATGTATTCATACGGGATACACAATGTGCGCTACAAGACTCTGTTTTGGGGAAGAGAAGGGCGCCACCGTGGCAGGCAAGGGCGAGGCAAGCTGGCAGGCAGAGAAAGTCAGAGGGACAGACCAGAAAAGAAAGGCGGACGCCAGAAAACAGCTCCCGTACAGTTTGAGAAACCCGTGGGCTTGCGTCCGGTTGGATTGGTGGCTTTTGATGCAGCCATCTCGATCTGCAGGTGCTTTTCTGTGTCTTCGTGTAAGGACGTTCAAGACCATGGTGCTTGTATCCATACGGTACAGGACTCGATGCCCCCCCCAAAACCCGAGTCCAGGGAAACGGACCATAATCCAAATGGCTTGCAGCCTTGTACTGGGCGTTCTCCCAGGGAAGACAGGGCGGCGGCGGCGAGGTGGCAGGGCAGGGTCTGGCCTTCGTCTTGTTTTCTAGATGGGATGGCCGGCTACTTTATGGTCCAAGCCGCCGGATCGAGAGAAAAGATAGGTAGCCATAGCTTAATTAGCTGGTTCTGGTCATGATGTTTGAGCCTGTGCCAAGCATTCGGACTGCAGACAGTGTTTCTATGCAGTTTTGTCAGCGGTGCGCGAGTCTGTGTGGGTAAGGTGAGCAAGTGTGCGACATCGACGGGAGTGCCAGAATCATCAATGTGTGACGAACGTGAGGATCTGAGGTGCGAGCTGGTCAAAGTCGCAAATCGCACGTCGCAAGTCCCGGTACGGGGTCGTGGGGCCCGCACCTTCCCCTGCCCTTTCCTTACGTCTCCCTCCTTCCTTCTCATCATCCCTCACCCCTGCTCCTGCTGTTTCTGAGTCTCTGCTTTCAGCCCGGGGTAGGAGGTGGTCACTGCCTAGTACTATTAGTAGCTAAGACTAGGAAGGGACCTCCCAGGTAGTAGTCTCGTACTTACCCGTACTACCACCACCGAGACCCCCGCCAGCTTTTTTGCCCTGAGTCTGACGCAAAGAGAAAGAACGAGACCCGACAACTGGCAGACCTTACACGGTACGGGCAAGAACGACTTACTTTGGGACGCGGCCGCCTCGGACCTTCCCATACGATTTTCGTTATATTTGCACCCGTCTACTCCCTTTCCCTTCAATTCCGCGGTTGCCCTCCGGAATTCTAACAGACGAGGCGTCTCCCTTCAGAGCATTCCAACAAACCGACGACCTTGCACTCTCGACGCTCCCTTGTGCAACCCGACTTCCCATGGTACACTGAAATAGGGTCCCAAAGTCCTCACCTGGCGACGATCTCAATTCATCAGCACCGGCCCTCGCCTGAATTCACGCACTACCGCGCGACTGACTGCCCGCCCTTTTTTTTTCCCTTTTGCTCACGCTCACCACCTTGGAATCGAATCTCACTCACTCAGCTTGTCTGCTGTTCTTTTCCTTCTACACCAACTATTTCGCCTCAACATCTCTCGTTGTCGCCCACAATGACTGACGACTACCGCACCGAGCGAGCGGGCTCCTTCGCCTCATCTTCCACCGACGCCGCGACTCTCCACGAGCTCACCAAGTTGGATCCGATGGAGGACAGCGTCCACAACCTCAAGTCGCAAGACGAGGAGAATCTGGGAACCCAGGAGGACGAGAAGCTCCTGCCCAAGACGAATGAGAAGGAGGAAACCCAGAAGTCCGGCTTGACTTCGGCCATCGTCTGGATGACCGTCAACACCTTGGCGACGATCGGAATCGTGAGTCTTTCTCTGCAGTGTGTGATTTCCTGAAAAACAGAAACAATACTGACTATACCTTGCCCAGGTTTTCACCAACAAGGCCATCTTCTCCGACCCTCAGTGGAAGCTGTGCCAGCTCACCTTTGCGAGTTTCCACTTCTTGGTCACCTTCGGCACGCTGTTCGTCCTCTCTCGGCCTACCTTCGCTTACTTCACTCCGCGCCGCGCCGCCATCCGGGACTTGCTGCCGCTTTCCGTGGCCATGTGCCTCAACGTTATCTTACCGAACCTCTCCCTGGCCTTCTCTTCCGTGACTTTTTACCAGATTGCCCGGATCCTGCTGACGCCGACCGTCGCGCTCATGAACTTTGTGCTCTACAAGGCGACACTGCCCAGGAATGCGATTTTTGCGCTTATCCCGGCCTGCCTTGGAGTCGGTATGGTCTCTTACTACGACTCTCTGCCTACCAAGGATGACAAGGTCAAGACGACTTCTACTCTGGGTGTTATCTTTGCCTTTTCTGGCATCTTCGCTTCGTCTCTTTACACCATCTGGATCGCTAGCTACCACCGCAAGCTCCAGATGTCCAGCATGCAGCTGCTGTACAACCAGGCCCCCATCGCCTCTTTCATGCTCCTCTACGTCATTCCCTTTGTCGACACTTTCCCCGACTGGGTCAATGTTCCTGGCAACCGCTGGATCATGATTGGCATGGTATGTTTTCTCCTTGATGAGTATCTTGGTTCACTCGCTAATTGGAAATGCACAGTCTGGTGCCTTTGCCTCGCTCATCAACATTTCCCAATTCTTCATCATCGCCCAGACCGGCCCTGTGTCCAGCACCGTCGTTGGCCACCTCAAGACTTGCACCATTGTTGCTCTTGGCTGGATGGTTTCGGGCAGAGCCATTGGCGACAAGTCGGTTCTTGGTGTCTTTGTCGCCATTGGCGGCATCGTTGCGTACGTTATTAATTGAGCCTTTCTGCATGTGAACATTAAACTAACAACTCACATAGCTACTCCGTCGTCATGCTTCAGCACCAACGCAATCAGCGCAAGTAAGCCTTCGTCATGTCAGCGGAGGCTCTCCGTTGACTTTATAACATTTCGGAAACGGTTCTTTTTTTGGCAGCATGGGGGGGATCATGGGAATCAAGATGGCGTTGAGTAGATTGAGCCCGTCGGGATTAGACAGGGTATATTTGGGATGATACCTCTTTTACATGAACCCAAACCTTTCATGGCTCGGCGTATAGGGAACAAAGTCATTCGAATTCGTAGCAAGGGAGAAATAAAACACTTTCTTCATTTTTTTCCAACCATAACCTGACGCATCTCAATGTCTCTTTCTTTTATTGTGATACGCGACATGACATGTCTAAAACCCAATCTACCCTTTTTTTGAAGCCATATAAATAACGCCGTACGGGGTACTCCCTGGCCAACAACACAATGCATCACTGTACCTGACACCCCGACATCCGCAGCGACCGAAGACCACAAGAGCACTCTACAGCTGGAACCGCTTACGGTCCTTCTCCATCCTGGCCTTCCACTCCCACGGCTGCGACTCCTCGCCCTCGCTGCCCGCCCTGCCGATACCCTTGTCCACCCTCCTCAGCTTGGCCGTGAACCGCGGACCGACCTCCTGCAGTCCCACGCGGATGCCCTCAACGCCCTTCATCTCGGAACCCTCGGCGGTGGTAATGTTCTTCTCCGTCTCGCGCTTCTCGCGGAAGACGTAGCGGTGACGCCGGAAGAAGAGGTAATCGCGCTGGTTGTGGACCGTGAGCACCTGGCGGCCCTCAAGCTCGGGCTGCGGCGGGAAGAGGCGCTGGAAGAGGGCGGCGGTGAGCATGCCGAGCGGGGTCTTGAAGTTGTTGAGGAGGAGCTCCGGGTAGTGGTTCGTCGGGTTTCCGTGGCCGGGGAGCTTCTTGCCCTCCATGAAGTTTGTAATGGTGAAGCTGAAGGTGGGACCGGTGGGGAGGTGGACGATGGACATGCCCGTCAGCTTCTTCTGGTCTTCCTTGAGGAGGACGACGGCGGTGTAGTCGCGGTTGGCGGCGAATTTGGAGATCTCGCGGAGGGAGTACTTGTGGCCGTAGCGGTGGGCGGAGCGGGGCACGTAGGTGGAGTTTGGGAAGACGGTGCGGAAGATGTTGGCCTCGTGGTGGAGGGTCGAGTTGAGCGAGGTGGTTATGAGGATCTTGGGGGGCGGGGGCGCGTCCTCGGAAAAGAGGCTGGGGAACTTGAGGGCGAGGGAGGACGGGGTGAGGTCGAGGTTCGTCGAGGTCGTCGAGGGCGCGGCGGAGGAATCCCTCTTTGCGCGGCGCTTCTCCTCGCGCCGCCTCTCCCTCTCGGCCTTCTTCTCCGCGGCCGCGGCCTCGTCCTCCTCGTCGTCGAGCATGCTGTCGTTATCGCTGTCGTCCTCGTCATCGTCCTCGAGACCGCCATCCTCGTCGTTGAGCTCCTGTTCCAGCGCGGCGTTCTCCTCCTCTTCTATCCTCCTCTTCTTGAGCTTCTCCACGTCCACCACCTTGCCCAGGCTGTCGTCGTTGACGTCGTCCCAGACGCGCTTGTTGTCGAGCGTCTTGGGCTTGTTCTTTGCGAGGCGGGCGGCGCGGAGCTCGGGGTCCTTGTCCTCCTCCTTCTTGCGGCGGAAGCGCATCTCGCGCTGGGCTTTGTCTTTGTCCTTCTTTTGCAGGACGTACATCTCCTTGCGATGGAGCTTGTTGGACGTCTTGTTCGTGAGCGAAGCCCCCATGGACTTACCCGGCTTTGAGAAGCCCATCTTGGCTTCCTTTTTTGTTCTCTTTTCGTTTCGATCGATAAAGTGTGAGTTCTCTCCGTTTGGATTCGTTAAGAATTGACCCCCTTGTATGGTCTCGTTAAATCGCCTGGGGGGTTTTGGTTTGGGGTATCTGTCGCAAAGAAAATGATGCTGTACAACTTTCGTCGGTACAGCAGCAGCAAAAAAAAAAAGCGCCGTAGAATCAGTGAAAATCAGCTTTGGAGAAATTTTGGCGGGGCACCGACCAATCCCTGCAGCAGATGCATTTCAGATGGGTCCCGGCGTTCGGCTTGCGGGGGCGCCAGGGATCGTCTTCCTCGACGGCCGTTGGTTAATCGGCGAATTGAATGATCCGTGGGTTCCACCTTATCGAGTGGGGTGGGGTCCTGGATGGAAGATTTTAGTCGAGTCCAATCGCCTGGTGCCGGTCTGCGGCTGCGGGACAGAGAAGGGGGGGTCCGTCCGGTGCCGTACCTGGCCTGGCGCGGATCGCAACGACAGGGCCACCTCAACTGGCAGACAGACCACTTTTGGTGCACCCAATGCCAACCTGGAATTGGAGGATAGAACTTTTTTATTATTTTTCTTGCCCACCAACGAGGGGTGTGAAAACTGAAGGGGCAGACGAACATTGACAGTGACCACCACACACTCACTCGCTCATACCCAAACCGCCCCCTCCATAGCTCGCACTCTGCAGTCCCGTCTGCACTGCTCGCACACTCTCTCTCTCTTCGGGGCATCTTTCCAATTGAGCCAGCCTTCCAGGTTAGCCCTTCTTGGGTACATTATCCCTCTACCTTGGCTGCAGCGCAGAGTACAGTGAGCTGCCAGTGACTCCATCCACCCCCAGATGACTCACGCTCCTCTAAATAACCCCACCAAACGATCGAGCAGATGAAGCCCTTTCGCTTTGTTGCACACCAATCACCTTCAATTCGTTCCACAGCTAGCTTCTGTGCAGTTCGGCCGGCCGCTTTTTTCCACTGCCACCACCGTTACCCCTCCCCCTCCTCCCACTATCCAAACCACTACTCCTCCCACCAACGCACCCTCACCACCTCCCGTCACCTCTCCCGGGCTCAAGTCCTCGTTCCCTCGAAAAAGAACAAGCCCTCGTCCGCTGCCGCCGGCTCTTCCTCCAAGATGACGACCACCGCGACAACCCTCAAGGGCCAGCCTCTCGACAGGCAGACCCTCGACGCCATGCTGCGTCGCCGTCTCTTCTTCACCCCGGCCTTTGAGATCTACGGCGGTGTCGCTGGCCTCTTCGACTACGGCCCTCCCGGTTGCGCCCTGCAGGCCAACATCGTCGAGACATGGCGCAAGCACTTCATCCTCGAGGAGGACATGCTCGAGATCGACACCACCGTCCTGACCCCGCACGAGGTCCTCAAGACCTCTGGCCACGTCGACAAGTTTGCCGACTGGATGTGCAAGGACCCCAAGAACGGCGATATCCTGCGTGCCGATCACTTCGTCGAGGACGTGCTCGAGGCCCGCCTCAAGGGTGACAAGGAGGCCCGCGGCCAAAAGGTCGAGGAGGAGGACGACCCAAAGAAGAAGAAGAAGAGAAAGACCAAGGCCGAGGTCGTCAAGCTCGAGGACGCCGTCGTCCAGGAGTACGAGGAGATCCTGGCCAAGATTGACAACTACAACGGCGAGGAGCTCGGCGAGCTCATCAAGAAGTACGACCTCCGGAACCCAAACACCGGCCTCCAGCCCTCGCCCCCCGTCGCCTTCAACCTCATGTTCCAGACCGCCATCGGCCCCAGCAGCAACCTGCCCGGTTACCTGCGCCCCGAGACCGCCCAGGGCCAGTTCCTCAACTTTGCCAAGCTCCTCGACTTCAACATGCAGCAGATGCCCTTCGCCTCCGCCTCCATCGGCAAGTCTTACAGAAACGAGATCTCCCCCCGCGCCGGTCTTCTGAGAGTCCGCGAGTTCCTCATGGCCGAGATTGAGCACTTTGTCGACCCCGAGGGCGGCAAGAAGCACGTTCGCTTCCCCGAGGTCAACACCGTCGAGCTCACCCTCCTCGACCGCCACACCCAGCTCGCCGGCAAGACCGACGTCAAGAAGATGACCATTGGCGACGCCGTGAGCAACAAGGTCGTCGACAACGAGACCCTCGGCTACTTCCTCGCCCGCATCCACCTCTTCCTCCAAAAGATTGGTGTCGACATGAACAAGGTCCGCTTCCGCCAGCACATGGAGAACGAGATGGCCCACTACGCCGCCGACTGCTGGGACGCCGAGCTCCTCACCTCCTCCGGCTGGATCGAGTGCGTTGGCTGCGCCGACCGCAGTGCCTACGATCTGTCCGTCCACGCCAAGAAGACTGGCGCGCCCCTTGTCGTGCGCGAGCGCCTCGACGAGCCCCTCATCTTTGAGGAGTGGCAGGTCGAGATCGACAAGAAGAAGTTTGGCCCCCAGTTCAAGAAGGACGGCAAGACGGTCGAGGCTGCCCTGGAGGGAACCACCCAGGAGCAGCGCGAGAAGCTCGCCAAGCAGCTCACCGACAACGGCGAGCTGGAGCTCGAGGTTGCCGGCGTCGGCAGCGGCACCGTCAAGGTCAGCAAGGACCTCGTCAAGATTGAGTTCAGAAAGCGCGTCGAGAACACCAGGGAGTTCACCCCCAACGTCATCGAGCCCTCCTTTGGTATCGGCCGTATCCTGTACTCCCTGATTGAGCACGTCTACTGGAACCGCGCCACCGAGGATGGTGCCGGTGACGAGGCCCGCGGAGTAAGTTAGCCCCTTCAGGAATCCCTTGATCAAACCCATCACTAACCAAATGACTTTAGGTTCTCTCCTTCCCCCCAACAGTCGCCCCCACAAAGGTCCTGATCGTGCCCCTGTCCGCCAACAAGCAGTTCCAGCCCTTTGTCAGCAAGATCTCGCAGAAGCTGCGCAAGTACGGCATCTCGGCCCGCGTCGACTCGTCCTCGGCCACCATTGGCAAGCGCTACAGCCGCAACGACGAGCTCGGCACCCCGCTCGGCATCACGATCGACTTCCAGACCGTCCAGGACAGCACAATCACCCTCCGCGACCGCGACTCCACCAAGCAGGTCCGCGCCGACGAGGACACCATCATCGCGGCCATCCAGAGCCTCGTCACTGGTGCCAAGGAGTGGAAGGACGTCGCTGCTGAGCTTCCCACATTTGAGAGCCAGGAGGTTGACGTCACTGTCCGGTAAAGAAGGGGACAGCAAAGCAGCTAAAAGCAGCAGCAAAGAAGAATTTCATATGGATACCATGTTCCCTTTTTTTTTTTTTGTGCGTTCGCAAGGGGCTCCTCTATAGAGATAGATAGAGAGAGACAGAGATGGGTGTTGAAAAAAGTCTTGTGGAAGGGAGGAAAAAGTTGGCCTGTGTGCGGACACCTGTAGATAATCTCAATTGAGCCTTTGTGGATTTGATTCATTCCTTTCCCTCATACATCCTCGGTGCAGTTCATGTGTCCTTGTGCCATATACAGTGATATCACCCTCTCCAAATGAACATTGGGTACAGCTATACCGCCTTGTTTGGGTGCGGGAGCTTGAGAAGGAGCAAGCAGTCGGCTCTCTATGATCGTACTTTGTAAAAGTTAATTATACGCTGGTTCCGGGCAGCACCAAGAAAAGTGATGATCAGTAGCCTAAAGAAAAGGGGCAAAGACATGCTGCTTGCTATCTTATCCAAGTATATATGGTATCTTGGCTCGCTTAGATCCGGAGGCGGAGGGGAGTTCTTTAGGATTCATGTGTTGCGTGAGACGAATGATAGGACGAGGCAGGCCATGGTTCGCAGGAGAGGATTTATCATCTTGACCTTGAAAGAGACTTTTACTTGATAAGGGAGAGAGGGGGAGCAAGCATATTGTCCTCTTCTTACGCGCAAGAGTGAATGGGTACGGATAAAAGAGACGAACACTCTGACGCAATCAGCTACTGTTCTTTAAAGCGTACTGATTTACCGCCGTGCTTTGCCCGATGGAGATGGGGGTTTACCAAACTTCCTTACCGACCTCGTCATCCGACTGGATTGGAGGGAGGACTGGACGGGATACGGAACAGAACAGAAACCTCATTGCAATCATTGGGGATGGCGAAAGGTTGTAATGAGTGTAATCAACTCAAAAGGACTGACTGCCTTGAAGAGTTCCAACTCTGATCAGGCTACAGCTTTCTTTTCTTCCATGTTTACTCTAGAATCCGCTGTATAAGGTACTAAGTACACGAGCCAGCTCAGTTCGATATCGGGATTCTGGGTAGATTGTAGTGTGGCACGTGACCGGCATGAGACGGGCCTCCCCGGGAGAGGTGTGACCGTAAAGTGGGTCCCTTCGGCACAGAGAAGGGGCCGGAGTGGACGGGAACGGTGACGGTGACGGAGGCCCTTGTACCCAGTGTTATGCTAGGGGACGTCTGGAGCAATCTACTCCAAGCACATTGAACGCTTCCAACACGACGTTCTACGATAATTCCTAGTTGAAAATCACTGCTTGATAGGGCAAACAATGTGCGACTTGAAGCGGGCAAGAGATAAAGCAGAATCCATCCGTTTCCTCGTCGGTAATGTCTATGTTGAAGGGGGTGGCCAGCGGGTGACGGTCCGGGCAAGCAGATGGGGTTTCACGATACTCGTTGCCGGTCCTAACGTGGATGCGCTCCACGGGAATGGCATGACACCTGGGGCCTGGACCAGAGGCTTGGAGTACAACCGAGCCCATGAAGCGGAAGGCCGACTGCTCAAAGTGACATTTCAAAGCACACTTTGATGTGACGTCGGATGCCAAGCGTGTTGAGCGCCGGGCACTTCACCGCGTTGATGCGACCACGGCGGCGGCGGCGAGCCCGACTTATACCACCTTGGTGGCTACAGAAACGAGAAATCCGAATGCTACTCAAGGGCCAAGTTGTATACCACGTCTTTTCGTCGCAGCTCATCTCTTTCATCTTGGCACCGAAGAAAAAAGAAGGAAAAAAAGGTCGAGGGCGGCTATTCTGACTCGGGAGGCAACGTCAAGGGGGGCAAACCGGAGGCATGAACCTGCGACAGATCCGCGGTATTAGAAACAAAACTGAGCAGTTTGTCCACGGGCCGTTTCGCTTGATCTTTGGCTGGAGGCTGAGAGGTAACGGTAGACGCGCAATATGGCTGAATACGTAGGCAAGCATCTCATTGTTCTAATTACCGGAAAGGTGACTGAAAGAAGAATGTGGTGACAACGCTCAAAGTCACCGTCGTCTCGCCGATGAGCATCTTCGAAGTCCAGCATTGTTCTTGGGTGCCTAGGACGGTGGATGGCTGATCTGCCAATGGCGTCGCACTCAAGCAGTAGATCTGGAAACATCAGTGCAGACGATGCGAAATGCAGCCCTGGTCTATGTCTTGGTGCGGGTATGATGTGCAGGTCTGTGTTATATGCAGAACATCGCAGGCTGCCTCCCTCTTGTGCCGTGCTGGGACGGAAAATGCAATGGAAGATTCCACGGTATGTGAAACACTCCACGGCCGTCGCCGTGGGATAGGCGAGTCGTTGACAGGAGGCGTCACTGCAAAAATTAGGCACGTTCCTCCTCCTTGGTGGACCGTAGATAGCCAGCCGCTTTCGAGCACACGGTCACACCCAAGTCGATGGTCTGTGGATGTTTTGGGACTCGGGCGGCTGTGGGGGACCAAACCATGGGAAACTTCAGAACAGGGTCCTAGGCTGCTTCGATTCGGGCGATGCCGATTTGAGAGAGAGTAGGTATCCGTATGCGATGCCAGGTTTGCCATCCCGCACTGTGAATGAGAACCCGGTATCAACCTGTGCTAGAATGCTTCGTCAATTGTTCCGCGGCTCAGCTGCAGCTATCGTTCTGTTCCGAGTACTCGAATTGATTTTCTTTGGTTGGGAACGCATACTTCGCATGCCATTGCTCTCAAGAAGAAAATGGCAACATCGGTCTCATTGGACTCGTGCCTAGCTGGGGAGGGGGTGGGGGCAAAACGTCTCTCAGGTCGTGAGACACGAAAGACTCCTGTCGCTACTCATAGCGAGAAGACGCTGCATATCTTCGATGCAGCGACAGCAGGAATTCGAAACATCAACAGATGGCTGTCCTCAGTGTTTGCATGGAGATACCTAATCGGTATGCAGCTGGCGTGCTTAAGCAGTGGGCACTCCTAGGCAACTTGCTGCTTGTCTTTAATTACAAGACTCGAAAGGGTCTGGATGTTTCCAGCACCGTCTTGGGGGTAGGCAATGTGCCGTCGGGTGTATATCAGACACGACTGTCTGGATTGCGCCTAGTCTTGTCAAGTTCGAGGCGTCGATCAGTGGCTGCGTGTTGCTGGCTGCAGTCGGGCTTGACCTGCCGGGCCTTTGTGTGAGAGTAACCAAAAATTGATAGCACTTTCTTCGTCGAGACTGGACGACGAATGGCGGCTTTCTTAGCTTGTCAAATGGCAGGCTACGATGTGATAGATGACAAGATGTCAAGGCCGTGCCTCTGATCTCTGGCAGTCTCTGCATCGCACGTGCGATGCAAGCTGCCGTGCTTTGTTGCTCGTTGCTTCCAGTTACGGCAATCTCTTGTTTCTGCGTCCGTCTACGGAGTACTGAGATGGTGGATGCTTGGATATTGGGTTTCCTTGAAGGGGCCAACGGGTCTTGACGTCGTGTGCGCATGACGAAGCGCGTCGTAGAGTTGCCGTTAAGGTGTTCGTGAAGTTACCGATGAACCGAGATGAGGCGAGGAGAGTCAGGCTTGATGTCATGAAGTCTGCCAGGAGAAGACGGGACGACGATGTGTTGCTTGGTTGGGAAGTCGGGTATCCATGTAGAATGGGTCTGGGACGGAGATTCACAGGCGCAAGGCCGGAACGAGGGGAACGCAGAGACGAGAAACAGTAAACGCGTCGGTCCTTGATATCAGCGTAGCGGCGTTGCTTGTGCGGACTCGTTGGGGATACATGTAGGATGTTGCAGACGAGAAGGGACGAAGTCGCATAAGGAGGGCTGTTCCTCCGAAGGGTGGATCTTGTTCTGCATGGAAGCAGACGGGAGCGAAGAAGAAGAGTGTCACTACTCTGGAGCCGTGTATGAAAGCCCACGACGCCATTCCCAATTCTTCCACGGCCCATCATCTTGTTCGGTTCCTGTTCCCTCGCTCGAGCGCCCATGCCCGCGCGCCGCCGGCATCAGCCCTCTTGCTTCGTGAGTTTTCATACTAGTGTATCCGTAGAGTACCTTGCACAGTGCTTCTTTATCGGAAACGAGCCAGCGGGCAATTTGAAGGACCTCAGCTGGGGCATTTTGGGGGATTCTTCACTTCCCCCCGCTATGACGTCTCACCATGCAGCGCAAGGTTGTAACTTCCATTTTCAGTGTCGGCTGCTATCAATTCGTGCTGTGAGCGACTGGCACGAACGTGGACATGCCGTTTAATGCTATGTTGGAAGTGTACATAGCTTCTCCTTTGCCACGGCACGGCGGAAATAGTCGTAGATTAGAAGGATCTGACGATTGGTACTGAAGCTGCACTCGGAGGATTAGGATTCTGTGCCAATAGCAGTCAAGGTGGGATCGTCGAGACGGCGTACCAGTCTAATGAGCAGTGTGGTACGGGTAGAGAGACAAGTCGCAATAGCTCAGGGGGGGACCAACAGGCACCGTATCGGCGTATGTCTGCCCAAGCAGACGTGACGGAGAGAGAGGGTAGAACATGACTCAGCGTCAGGTTCATTGGAGAGATTGGAGAGATTCATGATTTGAACCAGGGCTGGCCTTGGAGGGGAAAAAAGGTTGACGGACCCGTGGAGGTCGCAGGGCTCGTTGATGGACGAGAATCGAGAATCGAGAGTCAACTTCAGTCCAGATTCAAACAAGACTCATGTGTGGTCGGTAGCCCCTTGGGCCCCTTCTTACCTTCCCCACCAGCGCGACTACCTTATGACCCGACGAGCTGCATCGTCTCCTCATTCGTTAACGCACGCGGGAAGTCGAAGGTCTTCCTTCCCTCTACTAGTTAAGGTACCTAAGGTACGGAATACCTTATGGCATATGCAACTTGAGGAAGGCAGCTTGGGAAGTCGGGGCGGCACATGCGAAGTCGGTCATTCCTTCTTTCTCGACACTTGTACTAAGGTTGAGGTACATCGACCCCTGGCTCCTTCCCCTCCTCCCCAAAGATGCCTGGCGCTAGTTGGGGTTTGATGTGTGGGATGGGAAGGAGAGGTCGGGCAGGCACCTGCCAGAGGCCCTGCTGCAGAATACCTATCTTACCACAGTACCTTCCATAGGTAGGTAGGTAACGTGCAGCTTGAGAGAATCGAGGGAAGGCGGTATCCGTAACCACCTTACCTTACTGGAGTAGGAAGACTTTTAACATGGAAGGGACGGATACTTTAAGAAACGCACTTAGTAATTCTCATAGTCTTCCTGCCGCTGACCCTCTTGTCATTTCCGCATCTGCAAACTCTACCGTGAACTGCGGAGACACAGCAGACAGCCGAAATCCACGACTGACACTTTCCAACTGATACATCATCTTCGCGCCTGTATATTCGTCAGGCCCGATAGACCAGATTCGCCTGTCAGTGCTGCCTCGGCGCCTGATGAAAATAGACCGAGACAGACACGGAGACGATTCGATTCACAAAAAGGACTCCTTGACGCCCTACGTCGTTTCCCCGAATAGCATCGACGCATCGAGCCTTGGCCTTTCCAGCCTGCCCGACCCCCTGTCTACCTTGCCACAGTACTTCGTACATACCTTGCTTGTTCGAATACCTACGGATACTCTAGTCGGATACGCAGGTCTACTTCCCTGCAGTCGTCAATATCCATTCGTCTTTGCCGAGGTCAAAGACATCGAGGTTGAAAACGAAGCAGATATACCTAGATCGTCTCTTGAACGTGAGACAATTCATCTCGCGAGTACCTATCTGTCTTTGGTTTGCTAACACTCCCATTCACTCCCAGTAGCACTTCACAACCACCAATACTCCGTACACTCGGCGGGACACCCAGCCCCCCCACCCCTCCCTCCTTTCGGCTGATCGACCGCGACAAAGAAGGGTGCGTCCAGGGCGTGGTGCCCCATACCCGCCAGAGCCAGAGCCGGAGCCAGGAAGCAGGGCAGGAGCCAATCCCAGCTTCTCCCCTCTTCGACCAACGGATTCCACCCACCCCCTCCTAAAACCACCCGGCCTCGAAACGGAAATCTCACCCCCATCCGGCTCGACTCTCGAGTCCTTGAATCTCTCTTGTTTGCTCGCTTGCTTGCTGCCTCCTTTCTTTCACCCGTCTCTTCTGCCCTTTGCAATCTCGCTGGCAGAGCAGTATCCCACTCATCACGGCATACGAGACAGCAGACTCCATTGTTGAATATCCGAACGAGTCACGAAACTCTTTTGCAAAACTTCTGGAAGCCCGACAGCTTTTCTTCTGCCAGGGGGCACGGGCGGATAGGATACCTGGTACGGTACCACTGCGACTACCTGCGGATACTCCACAGAGTACCTTACTTCCCGAGTGAGAGTCTACTCAGTTACATGCCCCTGTTGCTTCCTTTCATTCCAAGAGATACCCGGTAACAACCCAGGTTGCTTGCTGGACGTCCGAACCAGCAGCCAAACCCAAACGCAAAGCCAGCCCAACCAGGAGGAGCCTTGGCCTGCAACCTTGAACCCGTTATCCACAATCGACAGTCGACAGCCCACTGCGGCGGCAGCAGAGACAAGCAACCTCAAGCAGAGGAGCGGAGCACCTCACACTCACAGGCTCACACAGCCAGGAGGCACGCCGCACGAGTACTCCGTACAGAGTGCCGCCCAAATCTACGAAACATCGCGTGTTCCATACCTTAAGCCATTGCCCGGGGGCTCGCATCCGAGGACAGCCACAGAAACACTCGCCTCTTATTAAAACTGTAATCCCTCTACCCTTTTCCCTGCCCCGTCCCGGACGGAAGAAAGAAGAGAGAGACCGAGGAAGTGTTTGTTTGTCCAGTGTGTGTGTGTGTGTGAGAGAGAAATGGCGACGCAGAATCGGTAAGCATCTCCCTCTCTCTCTCTCTCTCTCTCTCTCTCTCTCTCTCTCTCTCTCGCTCTCCCTCCCACTCTGCTTCTGCTTCTGCAACTGCTTCTCTCCTTGCCTTGCTTGGTCTTGCTTGGATTCTCCGGCTTCTTTCATCGTCATTGTCGTCCATCGTCGCCATCCCATCGATACGCGTTCTCCCTCGTTTCTCTTGATCCTCGTGGTCCAGCCCTGCATTGTATGTACTACCTGTTACTTGCTTCCTTGGTCCAGCCTGCCTTTTCCTGCCTAATGCGTCTTGTCTGCACCGCACACGCATATTCCCCATCCGTCCCATCCCAACTCACACTCATCCATCCACCACCTCATCCCCCCTCCTCCACCCTCCACTACTGCAGTCTGCACCGCAATTTAGCCCTATGCAAGGCAATTCGCAGCAAGCGGCGGCTGCGGTAAGCGGTAGAAGGAAGCAGAAGCTGCACAAGCAGTACCAGCAAGTTGCCCTGCAGCAACAATACCTTTCTTCCTTACCTTAGCAGCTTAAGCACACAAGCACGAGCACAAGCAATCCAAGTGTGCTGTTCCCTTGCGTGTACGGATAAACGTACGGTGTGTGTGTGTGTACCTGTACGTGCATGTGCATCAATCAGCCAATACACACACACACACACACACACACACACTGCGCAGCGCAGTACCTACCCTTCTCTGTCCCCCAGCGCTGCGACTCGACTCCTTCAGCGAGGCTAGAAGTGGGGTTCATTTCGTCTCGATCTGTCATGGCGCACCTCACCGATTGTCAACCGCCAACAGCCTCCCAATTGCGCTGTCCTGCCCATTCCACATCTTATTCTCCTCTTCTATCCCGTCCACTGCCTTGTTTCCCGGCAAAAAATTCCCCTTTTCCCGATCAGCATCATCCTCATTCAATCGACGACGCCCCTTCTGCTGCTCTTCGTCGTTGTTTGATTGTCGCCACCACCACCTCGACTCTCTCATTCCTTTCCCACTTCTTCGTCGCATGCAGACCTCGTCGCCCGCCGCCGTCGCCCACGCTGCGCAGCAATCATGGCTAACGAACGCAGTGTGTACTCGTCCGGCCAGTTCATGAACCCAGGCCCGGCGCCACGACCACCCACCGATCGACCTCGTCTCGCCCTCACTCCAAGCAATACCCTACCCGGCAGCATGGCCAACATGGCTATTTCTCCTATCCGGAGCACGGCGACTTCGACCTACACCGGCTCCACAATCTCCCTCCCCATCGCCCGCCAGCAGAGCAGCCAGAACGATGGCATGGGAGGCGTCGCTGTCAAGAAGGAGGGTTGGGCTTCCGTGAAGGAGTCCAAGAACTTTATCAACCCGTGGAAGCAGAAATACCTCATCCTGCGAAAAGAGTCTCTCGACTTCCACAAGACTGAGGGTGGCAAGGTCTCGTATACCCTCTTCCTGAAAGATGTCGTCAACGTCGGCCGAGTCGAGGCCGCTGGCACCATTTTTGAAATCAAGAGAAACCCCAGCGGGTCGTCAAACAGCCCTGGCGAGGACGATGGCCAGACCAAGACGCTGCAAATTCGTGTCAAGAGTGACGACGACTTGTACGAATGGATTGATCTCATTTACGGCGCCTGCCCTGGAATGGGCGGTGTCAGCAACCCCACCAACTTCTCCCATGCCGTCCACGTTGGTTTCGACCCCCAGACTGGCGAGTTTGTCGGCTTGCCACCCGAATGGTCGAAGCTCCTCAACTCCTCCGCCATCACAAAGGAGGATTACGAGCGCAACCCCCAGGCTGTCTTTGAAGTACTCGACTTCTACTCCGACCTGACCAAACGCGCCGAGAACCCCCAGCAATACTCCAGCCTCACCCCTACGCCTCCCGCCAGCAACCAGCAGAACAAGCAGCTTGGTTATGGCGGCGGCGGTGCGGGAGTTGCGCCGCCTAGGCCTATGCCGCCTTCTCAGGCCCAGCGTCAACCCAGCTACAACACCCAACCCTCACCACAAGGCCAACAGCGCCGGCCTTCGCCCACAGAGCAGCAGCAGCAGCGCCAGCAAATGCAGGGTATGGCTCCCAACTACCAGCCGGATCCTCGCGAGGAGCAGCGCATGAAGCAGCTGGAGGCGCAGCGCGCCCGGGACAGAGAGATCGAGGAGCAGAACCGGCGGGACCTGGAAGTATTCAACGCTTCCATCCCCAAAACCAAGACGCCCATGGCTCAGCAAGAGGTTGGCGGGTACGGTGGCAGCTCTTCCATCCCGCAAACAGACAGATACAACCCTTCGAGGGCAGCTCCCCCGGCACCAAAGCCGTCACAGCAGCAGCAGGTCAACGGCCTTCGTGCGCAACGTCCGGCACCATCGCCGCCCACCACCGCAGGCACACCAACCCGCCCGCCGATGGCTTCGCAACAGAGCTCAAGCTCCATGCGGGATCCAAACCAAGCCCAGCGCGTGCCCCGGCAAGATCAGCCCTCGAGCCAGCAGCAACGGTACCCCAACGGCAGCCCCCAGCAGCAGAGGCAACCCCCTCAGGCTCAGGCTCCGCCACCATCTCGCCTGCCCGCTCCTGTCAAGCCTTTGAACGTGTCCAAGGCTCAGCCCGCTGCCCCTCAAAGCGACGGCGTCAAGGCCGCCGAGGCAGCTCTCACTGCCAAGCCACCTGCGCAAGAACGCAAGCAGGATGTGCGCATGTCTACCATGTCCGAAACCGAGGTTATGGCCAAGCTCAAGGAGGCCGTATCCAAGGACGACCCCAACCTTTCCTACTCCAAGCAAAAGAAGATTGGACAGGGTGCTTCGGGTTCAGTCTACGTTGCCAAGGTCAAGGAAACAGCTGTTTCGCCTATCGCTCGCGATGTTCTGCGTGCTCAGGGCATCAAGGCTCAAGTTGCCATTAAGCAGATGGACCTTGCTCACCAGCCCAGGAAAGAGCTGATTGTGAATGAGATCATGGTTATGAAGGACAGCAGGCATCGCAACATTGTCAACTTCTTGGACGCCTTCTTGCGAAACAACAACTCTGAGCTCTGGGTTGTCATGGAGTACATGGAGGGCGGCGCTCTGACGGATGTGATTGATAACAACCCGAGCATCACTGAGGAGCAGATTTCCACAATTTGCTTGGAGGTAAGAGACTCATTAAGCTGTGAAACCAGCGAGACAATGCTAACGCGACCTAGACATGCCGTGGTCTGCAACATCTCCACTCCCAAAACATTATTCACCGCGATATCAAGAGTGACAACGTTCTTCTGGACGCTCGTGGTAACGTCAAGATTAGTAAGTGAATCGCAATGCCCGTCGCTGCGCAGCTACTGACCAAGTCTATAGCCGATTTCGGTTTCTGCGCCAAGCTCACTGAGACCAAGTCAAAGCGTGCGACCATGGTTGGAACGCCCTACTGGATGGCCCCCGAGGTTGTCAAGCAAAAGGAGTACGGTCCCAAGGTTGATATCTGGTCTCTGGGTATCATGGCTATTGAGATGATTGAGTCTGAGCCGCCTTACCTGAATGAGGAGCCCCTCAAGGCTCTTTACCTGATCGCCACCAACGGTACCCCGCGCCTCAAGAAGCCCGAGAAGCTGAGCAAGGAGCTCAAGGCTTTCCTGTCGGTCTGCTTGTGCGTAGACGTCAAGAGCAGAGCCTCTGCCGACGAGCTTCTTCAGCACGACTTCCTTAAGCACGGATGCCCGCTGGGCAGCCTGTCTGAGCTTCTCGCCTTCAAGAAGCACGCCAAATAGGTTGGCGAGCACAGCACGGTGTAGTGCAACGATCGGCACTGAGGAGCGGATGGGATGCCTCTGGCGATTAGTGGCGTTATTTTGGAACCGGCGGTATCGTGCAACAATTCCCGACGTGCGCGAAAGCAAGCAAAGAGACATTACGTTCGACCTATCGAACGAATTCCCTACTCCTCATCAACCATTCACACGACGTACTCATGAAACTTCCAAATTCAATCGACGCGGATATCCTTGACAACCCCCTTCTGACTTGCGCGGGACGAGAAAATGCTTCGTTCATCCCATCATGGCGGCGGCATGGGAAGGGAATCTTTTTGCTAATGGTCTCGGTCACATTGCATAGTTGTTTAGTCACCGCAGGGGAAGAATGGTAATTTAGAGGAAAGGTACGGCCCGCGACATCTCGGTGGCTCACATTGGCGAGAGGCAACGGAAGAGATGAGGGGCCAAGGGAGGCAAGCGTATTGCCTGGGTCTCAACAGAAAACATGAGTAGAAGGCGAGCCAGACAGCGCTGATAGATAATCTCAATGGAATGGATCAACGGATGTAGGCAACTCTTGACGTGAAATCCGACAAGTTCGATCGAGCCCGACCATCGAACCAAAGACCTCTCTATGATCAGAGGGCGTGGAAGGCTGCGCCGAAACGAGAGCCTCTATTGCCCATGATTAAGATAGTAGCTCGATCATCTATTGTTTTCTCATTCAGGGACTAGAATACAGACGGAAACGTCGACCTCTTTATAGCAGCAGAGAAGACTTTCGGCCCGCACGGGCTCAGCCAATCCCCGCTCTTCTTACATACGAAACCGCACCTCGATAACGTTCTCGTATTCGGAACCCTGTAATCCTTGCATCCGAGAAGAACGAGGCCGCCGCCAACCACGTCTCTCGAACTGGTTTCCTCTTCCTTTCATACCACTTTTTTTTCCCTCTCAATCCGCCCCTCCGAGCCAGTCTTTGCCGAATTTGCGTAGGCTTCGGTCATATCTTACATTTCGACCGTGGTTCCGTCATCGCCGCGCGCGCCCGCCCGCTGATCAATCATTCCCACGGCCGTACCAAAACTTGCGGGTTGTAACGGCCCCTCCTTTTTCCCTCCTTTGCTTACCTACTCTGGGGCGGCGGCCTAAGCGTCCAAGGGGGACTGCTGGCTGGCTGGCTTGGTTGGTTGGTTGGTTGGTTGGCTGGTGTGACCTGTGAGTGGGAGTGCCGTGTTTTCCTTGACCCGGCATGGATAGCCCGATGGATGGGTCCGGCGGCTCGTCCTCGGCGCCGGGTTCGACGCCGACGGCTACGGCGACGACGCCTCACAGCGGTAGCGGTGTCGGTGTCGGTGTTGCTGCTGCGACCAAGTCGCCTAGCGTTGCGATGCCGTTGGGCAGTATTTCTGCGGCGAGCAGTAGTGCCGGTGGTGGTTCATCTACGACGAGTACGACGGCCTCGGCTTCGGCTTCGGCTTCTGGTGCTGGGGCTGGGAGGGGCAGCACGCCTGGTACTACTACTACTGGTGCTGCTACGGCGAATACCGGCGCAACTGTTGTTTCGAGGCGGTCGCATCCCAAGTCGAGGACGGGGTGTAGGACGTGTAAGAATCGGAAGATTAAGGTGAGTTTTTATTTCATCCTTGTATTGCAAGTCGTTTGCTACGAGAGTTTCTTACTTTGGTGTTGAGAGCAGGTGTCTCCTATGAAGTGTGACATACACCCCCCATCCCGTTCTCACACTCTCTCACTCATGCCACCATCGCATCTCATTCCATGCCCCTCAATCATGTCTGATCGAAATTCCTTTCCCACACCCTCTCACTTGGTTTCTTCCCGTTACACAAGAAAGGAAAATCCCCCATCGACTGAGACAAACTAACAAACATACCCCGCCCCACAGTGCGACGAACACAAACCCTCATGCAGGAACTGCATCAAACACGCCGTCCCCTGCGACTTTCTCCAGTCCCAACGGCACTCCTCCGCCTCATCACTCCCGCGCTCGCCAGGCAGCATCCCGACCCTGGGACCTCTCAACGGCGGGGGTCTCGGGGGCGGCAGCCTCGGCCTGGGTAACGGAGGCCGAGGCGGCATCGGCGACCTCTCCCTCAACCTAATCGACCTGGAACTCATGCACAACTTCACAACCTTCGCCTTCAACACGCTCTCGACGGACCCCGTCGTACGGCAGATGTGGAAGGTGCCCGTCGTCCGGCTGGCGCTCGAGTGCGACTACGTCATGAGGGCGCTGCTGAGCGTGTCGGCGCTGCACCTCGCGCACAACAGGCCCGAGAGGCGGGATTTCTTTATTAGTCGGGCCTTGACGTATCACCAGATGGCGAGCCGGACGGCCATGGGGTTAATGGGTGCTCTGGGCGGGGAGAATTGTGAAAATTTGTATCTGTTTTCGGTGTTGACCATCTTTTTCGGTATGTTTGTCTACCCCCTAATTATCCCTTTTACGCCTTTCTACGAATAGAGGTATAGAAATCAGGACTAACACCCCAAACAAAGCCCTCGCCTGCCCACGCAAATCCTCAGACTCCCTAATCATGGGCGAATCCTCCTTCCCAGACTGGCTCTTCCTCCTCCGCGGCACCCGCTCCCTCCTCAAAGAACTCGACCCGCGCACCTACGCCGGTCCCCTCACACCAATGTTCAACCACGGCCGCGAGCGCTACATGCACACGCGCGACGAATCCAAAATCCAATCCGACCTCCTCGCAGACCTCCAACGCCTCGTCAACAAGACCTGCGCCGACGCCGCCTTGCTACCAGTCTACAACCGCGCCATTGACGAGCTGCGGCGGACGCTGAGCGTGTTTCTGTGGGATGGTGGGCGGGGGATGGATATCACGGACGCGTTTGTGTGGAAGTATCTGATGGCGGAGGATTTTTTGCCGCTGCTGAAGAGTCCCGGGCATACGCAGGAGGCTGTTGCGATTTTTTCGCATTTTTGTATTTTGTTGAAGAGGTTGGAGAATGAGTGGTGGTTGCAGGGGTGGGCTACGCATTTGATTTCGAGGGCGTGGGCTGTTCTTGATCAGGATCATCGGCTTTGGATTCAGTGGCCTATTGAGGAGCTTGGGTGGGTGCCGCCTTGATTTTCTATGTGGTGGATGAGGTGTTGGGGGGGGGGGGGGGGGGGGTGTAAGTAGGAGGAGGAGGGAGTGGTTTTGTTTGATATGATGGTGTGTGCGATATATCCTTTGGCTGAGCGATGCGAGGTTATTTTGGTACGTAAAATTGCATGTTGTTACAAGTGTCTGATGTCCAAGGGGCTATGGAAACAGCACGGAAATCGACTACTTTCAGCGCAGTATAAAAGCAAGCCATGGCAGCTCGATCCTACATCGAGCTCTTCACACCATAGCTGCCGTTTATATCCATCGCCGACAGTGCTACTGGTTTTCTTGTGCTCTATGCTCCCCCGTCTCGAGCGACGGACGCGGTTGAATTGCATCAGCTACGATGAGGTTACTCTTTGCTTTTTGCTTCACTCCTTGTAGTGTAGCCGGCATTGAATATACCGCGGATAGGGCCCAGCGCCACTAGAGGGTGACGTTCTTATAAGACGCAATTACCAAGCCTATTCCTTGAAATCCCGAATCAAGTCATGGGAGTCCCTGGGAAAAGACGACGCCATATTGAGATGATTTTGCGGACGGCTTAGTTGCCCTGAAAGACTCGAAAAGAGGGTGCGGGCAGTAGCTATTTGTGCACTTTCTTCACGACACTTCCTCACAAGCTCGGATTCATGCCAGAAAGGGTTTGGTCTGTCTTCTCGGCGCTGTTATCGGCCTACGTACGAGGTACGGCCGACTTCACGCCAAACCTCTGGCTTAAAACCACCCAAGCACCCACAACCACCAACTTCCTAAACGATACGGAGTCGCCAGCATCGCCAAAAGCAGCATCGAGGCATCGAGAAATAACCCCAAAGTCGACGAATCCGAGGCGGTCAACAGCCTCTTTGGTCAGTAAACTCCGAAACATTCGATATATCGGCCCGTCAACGGGCCATTTCCACGGAGACGAATATGGGTGCTTCTTGCGGTTGTAAATCTCATCCGTAATAAACGGTCGCCCAGCCTCCCGCAAGACCTTCTTATCAATAATCCTGTCTCGCACGGCAGCCATGTTCTCCCAGAACAAGCTTTGAGGCGCCTTCTTCTTGTCACCGCCATCGTCGTTGACGCCTACAGGGTCTGGGGCCCGGTAGCTCATCTTCACACTCGGCGGAAGACCGTTAACGTACTCCGCCAGCTCGTGGTCCAGAAACGGGAGACGCGCCTCGATGCTATGCGCCATCTCCGACCTGTCCCCCAGACAAGTCAAGACCATGTTCGCCATGGAGGACTTGACGAAAACGTACAGAGCCGAGTGGAGACTATGCCAGCGGTCCTGAATCTTTTCCTGGGCGTCTGGGGGAATAGAATCGAGTAGCGCTGCGTAGACGCCGGACGCGCTCTGTTTGTCCCTCACCCATGGGGCGAACACGTCCGACGAGGGAAACGATCTCCATTGAATCAAGAAGGCGTCCAAGCCCGCGAGAGCATCAAAGTCGGTGCTCTCCTCGGTTCGGGCGTGATCAAACATGCCCATGCCTTTATACATGCTCCGTAATTGTGCTGCGGCGGATTTATACAGTGCTTCTCGCAGCTCAGTATCCTTTGCTAGCTCCGTCGACGGTAAGGCATCGTCGGGCTCACGGAGGAAATCAGAGACCAGGAATGGGTAGCCGGCAAAGTGCTCGTCTGCCCCCTCGCCCGTCAGCACAACGGGGATCCCTTGCTGACGAGGTAGGTTTGAGAGGGCGTACTTCCCGACGCTGTTCATGTCGAAGTGGTGGTGCTCGGTGTGGTATACAGAGTCGGCGAAATGCTTTGCGAGTTCTTCATCGTCCATGACTTTCTTAACTATGTTCAGATCGAGCCATTCCGCGGTGCGTTTTGCAATGTCTTTAACCTTCATTAGTATGATCTTCGGTGTGGGGGAGCACCGGGACTTACCATATTCGTTGTACTCCGAATCAGATGTGAAGGAGATGCTAAAACAAGTGATCCTATCTTTGATGTCCTGGTTTCCCAACTTCACTCCCCTCTCTCGCACCAGCTGAGTTGTGATTCCCGCTACGATTGATGAGTCGAGACCACCTGATAGGTAGATTCCGACTGGGACATCGGCTTGTAGGCGGAGACGGACGGCATTTACCAAGCGCTCGCGAACTCCGTTGACCATATCATCCATGCTGCGTGCCTCCTTGACAGTCTACGAAGCTCATCAGTCTTTGGAGCCATCGCCTGGCTCACGTATCAGTGTGAGGTCACTTACCTTGTCAGCATACTCGGCATCCCAATACCGATGCTGCGTCACGCTGCCATCTCGACCGAACCGCACCCAATGCCCCGGCAACACCTTCTTCGCCCCCTTAAACAACGTACCTTCGCCCAAAACAGCCGCGCCGCTAGATATAGCATCGACATCCCACTCAGGCTCCCACCCCATGGGCAGAAACCCTTTGATCTCCGAGGCAAGCAATAGCCTGGCTGGCGTCTCGTTACTGTATGTCCAGAAAAGAGGCTTGATGCCGAATCGGTCTCTCGCAGCGATGACGTCCCCAGACCTTTCATCGTACAAGACGAAAGCAAACTCGCCGCGCAAATGTTCAAAGAGCCCGGGAACCCCGTGGTGTTGATACAGGGCCAGAATGACCTCACTGTCACTCCGTCCGGAAAAGTTGTAGTCAAACTCGACGCTGCAGCGGCCGCGGATGGCGACGTGGTCGTAGATCTCGCCGTTGACTACGACGTGAACTTTCTCGTCTTCACTGTGCAAGGGTTGAAGGCCGGTTGGGGAGAGATCTATGATTGAGAGGCGGGCGTGGCCGAGGCCTTTGTGTCTGTGTCAATATTCGGTACAAAAACATAGGCTAGTGGAGCTGAGATGAGGCATACCGACGGTAGCGTCGCTGTTTATCCATGTTCCTTCTGCATCTGGACCTCGATGTTGAAGAAGAGATAGGCTCTGTGTTAGTTTGCTCTGTACATCAGAGCGTCGCTCCGATGAACCATTCTGCGGGCTGCCGGATTGGATGATGGCTGTGATTCCGCACATTCTTGAGATGAAGTTCTCTGTGATAGATTTCGAATGAAGTTCTCTGTGATAGATTTCGAATGAAGTTCTCTGTGATAGATTTCGAATGAAGTTCCTGCTAGTTGTGTAAGTGAGCCAAGTACGATATGAGAATAGTTTTGTGAGAGAAACGGCCAAAAAGAGAAGACGAAACCTGTTCAGACGTTTCCAATCGCTGTCGACAATGCTCGAATGACGAGCTTAGTCTGTCGGTTAGCATTGCTCCCGGGTCTACTCTGAACTTTCTTCATCGGAGTGACGTTGAGTTGCATCCTCGCCGTTGGGAATTCAAAGTTTCGTACAGAAGGATCAAGGTTTCGGCATCTGAGTACAGGGGAAGTGGAAATGGGTTGCCTGCGTACTAGGTACTGTATGACAACCACCAAGTTGTACTAAAATAGCATTGTCTGAAACTCTCGGCTCCGTTGTCTCCTCTTCTCCAGGAATTCGATTCTCCGCGGAAGCCATGGAGAGAGAAAGAGGGCGTACGGGTCGGGGCAGGCTAGGTTAACCGCGAAAGTTCCGTACAATAGGCAAGTGCATGTGTTGATCAATGATATGATATTTGTTCATGAAAGGTATAGATACATGTTGTATGTTGGCTTATAATGTACAAAGAAACGTCTCAACACCGAGCCATCGTAGACCACCGCACTTTAGCAGTTGGTCTGGATGCCCTGAGAGTACATGGCAAAGGAATCGGCATTGTTCAGTGCCTGGGAGGTGCTGAGGGAATCAACGCATCCCTCGTAGCCGTAGCACACGTCGTCGGTTCCGCCAACCTCGGTCAAGTGGGTGGACTCGTGAACCAGGACGTACGGCTGGTCGGTCGCGCGGCACGAGGTGGTGGAGGCGGGGAACTGGAAGAAGTAGTCGCAGACGACGATGTAGCCGCCGCTGCCGGGCTGGGCGTAGGCGACGACGCCGTCGCTGCAGAAGTTGCCGACGTCAGTGCAGTAGAGTCCCGCGCCGCTCGACGTGCTGCCGAGGAGGGTGGCGGCCTTGCCGAAGACGCCGGCGACGGTGGTCTTCGTGCTCGACGTGGTGGACTTGAAGTACTGCTGCATGCGGGTGCCGGCGTTAGCGGCCGTCTGGGCGTTGGTTGCGTACGTCTTGGCCTTTGAGAGGGCGGCGGTGACGGCCGTCTTCTTGGTGCCGGTGCAGTCGGACTGGATGGTGACGCGCTTGGCGTTCAGGGACTCGTGGAAGGCGGCGTGGACCGAGGCGGCCTGGGTGCCGTCGACGGTGGCCTGGAGGACGCCCGAGTCGAAGACGACCTGGCCGGCGATCTTGTTGCTGCCCTCCTCGGCGTAGCGGAGGGATCCCGTGCTGGAGATGTTGAAGTCGCCGCCGCTGCTCAGGTCGTGGACCTGGGCAGCGTCCCACTGGACCTTGACGACCTCGCCGGCCTCGATGGTCTGGAAGGCAGAGTCGGGGAGATCGGCATCGTGAACGTAGACTCGTACGCCAGTGAAGGCAACCTTGCTGACTGTTGACGGGGCTAGACAATGTTTACGATGTTACTGTAATCAGGGATATGGCGAGACTTACTACCACTGCCATCGACCGAGCTCGTCGAGAACTGGGCCTTCTCAACGGGCGATCCATCGAGGATCGAGCCCGCCTTGAGAACACGAAGGGGTGCGCTGCCGGTGTTGGTGATGCTGGCCTTCAGCTCGCTGTTGCCAACTTGCTCAATTTTCACATCGAGGGGCTCCGCACGTCTGCCCAGGTTGACGGCGGCGCCGTTGGCGAGAGCGGCGAGGCAAGAAACGACAGTGGCGGCCTTCATGGTGGCTGAGGTATGTGGTGAGAATTTAAAGAGAGTATAAGACGTAGCCGTTGGAAGATGGTGGACTCTTCTCAAGAACGGTGAAGGACGGAAGCGAGAGACGAAGGCTTTATGGCAACTCCATAACTCCTGGGAGGAAAGCCCCTTGACCTGAAGGTAACCCTTCTCGGGACCTCAAACGAATAGTAAATTGCATCACGGAGAAGAAACTTCAAGGATACGGGTGTGCGGCCGGGGATACGTTCCACCACGGAGAATTTCCCAGTGGTTCGGGATGCGGGTGCGAACTTGGGAAGGATGGAAATTATCCGATCATGTCCAAAATAGAGACGAACAGGAAAGCTGACACCCTAAGGCTTCCACCAACCGAAGCGCGCAGCCGCGGATGGAGGGGGATTGGTCCAGCGGGGTCATCTCGCAACGGATATACATGGACTACTACAACTGAAGCTATCCCCAGCTGCTTCTTTGTACGAATGGGAACCATGGTTGAGAGGCGGCTCCCACTCCTTTAGCAAGCTTGATATGAGCCTTAAGAGGCCGTTATGGAGAAGGAGGTGCCGGGCTCGGAGTTTAAAGTAAATAGAGTAGTGGGCCGTCTCGACTCTGATTAGCTGTTCATTTTCACTACCGACAGCGACACACCAAAACGTGGCCTTGGCAAGGCCTTGGCTGCGTGCCGTTTTGATATTTACAACAGTGGCGCTGCTTTGATTCAGACTCGCTCAGGACAACTTTTAATCTCGGCAGCGACAACCTCATACGCGCGTGTACGTAACAAATGTTTGCCCCGCATTCATGCTCGGTCTAGCCACAATATCCTACAAACGTCCGTTCCCTCATGATCCTCATCGATTCTGCGACCTGCCTAAAGGAGCATTAAAGCCCGTTGACGATCCAATCAGCCATTTTCAATTTGCCTCCTCTTCCCTGCGTAGTGGACTCGTCAGGAGACTGTCGTGGCACAACATCGTCATCGCTCTCATTCTCTCTCAAGTCTCAACTCTCTTGGCCCCCTGAAATCATCATCACCTTTCCAGCAACTCAACACACAAACATTGCCTCCATCACCATCAACTCATTGAACTTTGAAAGCCTCTGTGTCTAAAGACAACTCACTCAACTCTGCATTGCTTCTCAACACTCATCAATCACCCCTAGTCAAAAACGAGTCATCATACATGAGCCCTCATCACCGTAGCCGAGGGCCTCTTTCATTCCCGGCCGCCCTAACAATCGGCGCCGTCATCGTACTCACACTCTACTTTTACTCTCCGCTGCAATTCTTCACAATGGCCTCTGACTCCTCATCCTTCCTCGACAACCTCGAGGTGAGCCTGTCTCAGTCTGGCACGTCGCCCCCAAAGGTCTCAGTGTCCGTCAAGAACACACACCCGGACACGCCCGTGACGCTCCTGAAATGGAACTCCCCGCTTGACCCCGCCGTCCTCGGTCTGGGCCAGGTGTCCATCCAACCCGCCGGGGCCTCCGAGCCGATCAAGACCCACGCCATCATGATCAACCGCAAGATGCCGCCCGGCGCCGAGTCGCTCGTTACATTGCGACCTGGTGAAAGCGCGGATCAGGTTGTTGAGCTTCGCGAGCCAAGAGTGCCGGGAGATGTGTGGGAGGCAGGCAAGGCCAAGGTAGCGATGAAGGGAAGATGGATGGCTGTCTGGCCTCGTATGACTACGGAAGAGGTCTTGCAGAGCCCAGAAAAGTTGACGTCTGTCGGTGCTGGTGCAGGGTCATTGATAGGGGAGTGGGAGACGGAGAACATTGAGGTTGGAAACTGATTATTGATTTGTTTTTTTTCGGGAGGTTTGGAAGTATCTATCACATAACTACTGCTGAATACTGTTCGATGGTGTTTTGAGGGAATTGCCGTCACATAGATCCTGAAATTCTGAAATGCCATAGGCGAGAGAATGAAACAACTCAAGTTGTAGTCATTCAGACTCTGGATATGTATGGTCTATTGAGCACCGCTTTGTATTTAAGCAGTTACGAGTGAGGGACTCGGGAGACGCGCGCCGCGAACGAGTCCTACTTTTATGTGAGGCACATAGTGACCATGATATCGGTCGAATGGGATGTAGCTGGTTTTCTCCACTCCTTTTAGAGACATTTCTGCTGCGCTGAGATGGTCAGCCGCTCGAAACGACATGCTGTCAGGCTACCTCTGACCTCCGATACTGCCCGTATTACCGTCAGTATTATTTGTAGCAGCACTAGTACTACGGATTTGGTATCAACTGGTTGGATATCAAATGAAAGCTGCGGCCCCTTAGAGCTTGCGGAATAAATGATTTTCGGGCTGACCAAAGGGGAAACAGGCTAACCCAATAACATCGGTGGTGATGGGAGGAGAGGTGTCAGCATGAGAAGTGATAACTTGATATCAATAATCAGGCTACACCCAACATCCCCGCTGGACGACCATATCTAAAGCCTTCTAATGCAGCGTCCGAGACGATGGCAACATCGTCGCTGCAGGCTTTCCGGGACATATTCAAACGTTGTAATCTGTCCCGATATGACGCCAAGTTACGTCTTTCATTAACACTGCAAAGGTTTGGGTTTCTTATGAACCAAAGTCACCAAGTGAGTCCTTAGATAAGGCGAGCCTACTATTTCCAGACTTGTCAGCTTCTCCTACAGCCTTGCCATCACCCACAACTTTCCCCGTAGAAGTGGCGCAAGCGACATGCAGTCAGCGACCCAGAGCGGAAATAGCCTCGTGGTCGATATTCGCGCGCACACTCCAAAGATATTGCGAGCCAACAATGGAAGGGCTACATTGGGATATGCCTTCTGCACCCTTGTCTTCGGTACGCAGAAGCCTTGGCAACATGCATATAATTGCGGCTTGGCCCCGCCCAGGCTCTCGAAGCAAAATCACTCAACCGAGTGAGCAGGCTACGAGTCGGAGCTACTATGTGAGACGTAGCCACGTCGAGCCACGAGAGTCAGCCTCCAGAATCTGCGTCAGACGGGTCTAGCATGGAACAGCAGTCCTTTTGGGTGGCAGAAGAAGTTCCCGAGGAAGACAGTGTTGTCTTTCAGAGCTACATCAATCGTGAGTTTGCATGAGCTGCTCAAGTTCCCGTCTTAGCTAACTAACATTGATCAGGCTATTCGGGAGAGCCTCAAGGGGAGCATGGGGTGTTTGAACCGAAGAAAGATCAAATCAGCAAATGGTCCGATGCGCCAAACCCAGAATGTTATGCATCCTTTGGGGATGGCGGTGTCACAGCTACCGTCAATGCTTACGGCGACCTGATGCAATTCAGCAGCTTCTTGGGAGTTGGAGATTCCGGAGTCTTTTCCGCAGATCATCGCAACACGGACGATCCGTTCTGGGTGAAAGAAAGAGCCAAGCAGTTACTTGAGATGCAGCGAGATCGACATCGAGTGAACATTACCTACGGCCTACGGATCCCTGTCATCAATCCTGAGCAATGCTGTTTTCTAGGCTATGTCAACGACAGATGGCCGCGTTATGAGGCTGACGACAAACTCAAACTCACCATGCAATGGATGGCCCATGAGAAAACAATCTTGCAGCAATGCCTCGTCACGAACACTGGGCTAGACGAAATAGCCGTGCCAATCCAATTTGCGAGGGGCATGTGTATTCGTGATCTTGAATACTTGGTGTGCCCATTCAATTCAGATGCTACGGATAGATCAGAAGATCAAATTCAAACGCAAGGCCCAAATGGCTATGGGTGGTCCTTGATTCAAATTTTCCAGCACAAAAGCGCGGACGGAGAAGACAAAGGGGGGGAAAGGCAGAATGAAGCAGAACCCTTTCGTCCAAACTCAAGGTCAATGGCAGCCAGCGAAATTGAAACCCAGACCGAGGATTCCATGAGATTGTCAATGGACCCGCAGCGTCCACCACTTCAAACGCCAGCTGCTGTCGCAGTCGTGGTGTCTGTCTTCATCGATGGCAAAGCTGTGCGGTGGGAACCTGGCATCCTCCATAAAGAGGATGAAATGATCAGCGAATTGTTGGTCAAAACGCTGAAGAAGAAAGATTCGGTTGAGATTATCACTGCCTATAAGATGATTCATTTGACTGGATCGAAAGCTGCGTGGAACGATTTCCTAGTTCCTTCAGCCTGGTCAGATGTCAGCAAGCATCTTGCATTATCGTCGTTTATAGCGTTTCGACCCTCAGACTGTGACAAGCTCGTTGGAGCCACTGAAGAAAAGAAACCCGCAGGGCTTTTTGGTCGCAATATAAGATCTGCTTCGTCCACCAAGGACACCCAACCACAAGGAGTACCAACGGACAGCCCAATGGATCACATCGACTTTATCACTCGCCTGAATCTCGAGCACATTCTTTCCACGTGTGTTTTACCAATAGAGAAATCTTCTGTGGATGGAGAAGTAGTGGCAGTTGCTTTAACATGTGGCGATGTATCGGGGCATCTTGTATGTCCTTCAGCAAGTTTGTAAGTCAGCAAGCCTCCTCTTTCCGGCTTTACTTGAGCCTCGAGACAATAAACCCTAATCTTCTTAGCTTCGCATTCTCATTTTTGCTTGAAATAGCAAAGCGTTTGAGTGTCATCGAGACAGCCTATCCTGAGCATGACTACAAGCCGCTACAAAAAAGAATTGATTTGGCCTGCCGTGGCCACATGAAGTGGCTTTTAGACGCCGACTTGACAAAAGATAATGTTTTTGCAGCCAATTACTGGCCTACAGGCCGCACTTTGGACGATGATCACATTGCCAACTCTTTCATATCAAGTAACTCTTTCACTGACACACCATTCCAGCTGATGAAGGCATCTGAGTTTATGAGTGTCTACAAAACTCAAGATGACCATGATTTGGCCCGGCAGGTGATCCGGAGGGTTGCCAAAGCATGGATCAGTACACTTCAGGAGGCTGACAAGCGTACTTCACATGTCTGGCCTCGCGCACAGGACGAGGGGTGCAACAAGTATAGACTCAGTGAACATGTTTGGATATGGAAAGCCTTAAAGGCTATTAAGGATGACAGGCAAAGACCATCCGAAACGCAGAATCTTTCGGATGACAATGAATTGACTCGCAGAGACGCTCCCGAGACCGAAAGCAACGACCGGAATCATATCGATTTGGTTCAGATACACAAAGCTATCAGTGAGGACGAGAAGCTTTTTAAAGACTTCGACTCTGATACCGTCCAACGCGACATCTTGAGGCGGTTCACGGTGGAAAATGAAGTGTCAAAGAAGCGCATGTTGGCAATGACAAGGTCTTCCCGAGAGACGCGTTTCTTGCTCCATGCTAGCGACACAGCCTTATTCTATGGAATAGACTGGGGTTTCATCTTGCCGGTGTTTGACGAGGTATGGAACAATACAATCGAAGCCCAGGTGCACCACAATGAGAACTCGGAGACAGTTTGGGACAACTCGATTCGCTATGCACTCGCAATCATGATGGGAACCAGAAAAATGCAACTTAACAAGAAACCTCCAAAGGAATTGGTCAAATCTGCATTCGGTATTTTGTTCAGTACCACCAGCCCCAACGGGCTCTTTCATGGGCAGCTTGAGGGAACAACCAAAGAGCCATCGCTGTTTACTAGAAAACAGTACCGCGACTTCTATTTCCATGCCAGTTTCGAGATTCCCTACATACTTCTCACACAACGGGGGAGAATAAAGTCGGCACTCAGCGATTTTCCTGATGAGAATCCCGAGTCATCATCTAAACCTGCGGCGGCGAGAACGACACAACAGCAAAACCTGGAGGAGGTCGTAGAGATCTTTACACAGCAACCAAAACGACAATCGCTAGTCGTTGATCGTGAATACAGATCTCCTACAGCACAAGCCCCTGTCACCGAGACAGTCGAAGCACGCGAGCTCTCTACCAACCGCTATCTTGGGGCCAAGTCCAATAGACCCAAGGTCACAGCTATGAAAAAGAGCGTCCCATTCAATAGCCTCATCGACCAGAGCAGTATCGTTGATCTGGAGGAGGAATGGCTCTACAACTATCCTTCATTTTTTGGGGGTAAGGAGTGTACTCCCTCTGAATTTCAAGACGAAGCGCTCAATTTATCCGCAACCACGGAGAGCAACAATGGAGGCATAGTTATCAACAGAGCCGCCGAAGTCTTCATCAGGGAATACGAGCACAGGAATATGATTTCAGACCCTACAGGGGCCTTGGATTCACATCACCCAATGTTCAATAATTCGGACATCAGGGGGTGGGTAGTGAACATTCAGAAGCAAAAGCATCTCAGCAAGCAGCAGAGAGCATCCAGGGACAATGTTGAAGAGACCCAGGATCATGCTAAACTTTTCGACAAGTTGTCAAAGACTCGGAAAGCTGAAGAAGCCAAGAAAAGGTTCATTTGGTTACAACAAGCGCGCGGCAAAAGTGCTCTTATATGCTACGTCAATAGTCCAGCAAACGAACAGCCTGCGATGTCTCGTTTCTTCGACTCGCATTCTCACTACGACAATCAGTTCCTCGAAGAAACAACAATGGTACTCAACGTCTGGAACAGTGAATTGCATCTGAGCTTTTATCGGCTGATTGATAAGGATTACAAGCCGCACTGGGGAATACCGTCCTTGAAGGGTACAGAGCTCCCAGGCAACGCCAAATGGAAGCTCGCGCAAGCCTCAATGGGGTTTCGCTTTTCTGGTGATTTCTTCGACCGATATTGGACTTGTTACATGATTGAATATATACCGGGCTACGGGGTGCGGGAAGGCGAGCGTGGTAAATTACCATGGAAAGAAGAAGGCTGGAGGCAAAGGAAAGTACTCGAGCTGCTCCTTTTTGACAGAATTCTGAAGCAGATCATACGAAGCACTGAAGACATCTTTGAAATGGTCAAAGATGAGCTAGGCGACAAACGCGGCGTCATCTCATTCTCGGCCCTCAACAGTGTTGAGTACCTTTCATCCAGCACTAAGTGGCAGGTCTACCAGCAGATACTTCAGATGATAGAAGAAGAGCTCTTCGACGTGCTATCGACAGTCTCTAAGTGGGAGACGCGTGAGAAAGATAGAGGACAAGAGCGACCACGCTGGACGCGCAACGACGAACGGAAGTACCGCGGCTCCATCGGAAAGCTGCAAGCGACGACGAGCCGCCGTATCAGAGATTTGCAGAAACAACGCAGCGACATCCGGTCGCTCAAGGAGCAAATCATCCGTGAGCAGCAACAGAGCCGCGACAACGTCTCGGTCATTGACGCAGAGAACGTGAGACTCTTCACCTATGTGACTGTTGTCTTTTTGCCTCTCGGCTTCGCGGCCAGCATATTCAGCATGAGCGAAACGCCGCCAGGCGACGTTTTGAAGCCCATGGCCGTATGCTCCGCCGTCGCGCTTGCACTTACCTTTGTGGCGCTGGGGAATGCGAAGAAAGTCTCGACGGCGATAAACAACTACTCTCATGAGAAGATGAACAGCAGCTCACTGGGCCCCGGACGCGAGATGCAGGACAGTGAGGGGCGAGTGTTGGCCATACCTCAACGAGAAGAGGCTCAGGCCGGGATGTCTGAAAAGAACCAAAGACGTGGTGGTTTTGGTACAAGCCATCAAATCAACCATAAAACCAGCTTTTCGGAGCACCTATGGTTCTGGATGAAGTACGTTCTCATTGACCTTCCTGCTCGAAGAGTCCTCGTGGCCTATCTGGACTTGAAGCCCCCAATGCGTACCGACTGGATCATGTACGTTCACGTAGGTATTGGCGCCATTGTTTTGCCGATGGTTCTCGTCACTTGGATATTTCGATGCGTTTTATACAACGCCACTGATCTGTTCCAGCTTGCTTGGGGTAAGCTTTCCATCTGATTGAGGTCAGATCTTCCGCACGAGTTCCCTGAAGCTGACACCCCAAAGGACTGGTGAAGATTTCCGTCAAACCAGGCCCGCCAGATAAGTACAAAGACCTGGAATCCTATATGGACAGGTGGGAAAATCCTAAGAATGTACGACCACTCAGAGAAAAGGTCATGGACGTGAGTAAACCGGAAGTCGAGCCAAGCATAGACGAAGCGGTAACGTGATAGCGGCCAGTTTATGAGGGATTTTTGGGTCTGGCAGAGTTAGACAACGTGGCATGTCTCGTTGGTATTGAGTATACTGTCATTATCCTAATTCCTTAGTACTGTAGCCACAAATGGTCATCGATTCAAGGGCTGAAGAGGTAGGAAAGGTTGTATCGAGGACACGCCGTAGAGCGGCGCTGATAGCCAGTCTTACTCTCCGTGGCATTGACGAAAGAACGACGTACTCCACGTAACATGCCTTTCAACAACAGTATGTGGCTTTAGGGCTCGTGAGCATATAGCAAGTGAGCTCTACGCCCATCAAGTCCCGTCCCCAATATCTTAGGCGAGTCTTGGTTTCTCAGCTGCGGCCAGAGGAGTAGCAGTGATCGGCCGTCCAAATTCTTACCTCCACTCTAAACCATTGGCTTTAACTTTCAGCTTCATCGCGCCAAGAAAGCAGATAATCCGATCAGGACTGTTTCCATCTCCTTATGGTTATATCTTTCGACGGTGCGGTGAAGCCAACTGAGGGGAGTCGTGGTAAAGTTCATGTAAAAGTGAAACCTGCATCTAAATATCTCACCGTTTACAAGATTGGGAAAATACCAGGACCAATTAGTCCAATATCCACCACTGTCCAAACCTATGACACGCCGTAGTAGACCGCGACACTTGCTGCGCCGGCATTGCTTTCCGTCCCGACTTACATAACAATTTGACAGAATCGGTTGACATCTGCACCAACCCGCGGGTTCTACATCGCTCGAGGAGAATAAGGCGTAACCCTCTCGCTGTAAGGAGACGCAAGAAACGAACGTCTTGCAGATCACAAAAGATCACCATCATACCATACCGAATACACCTCGACATCCCCACCAAGCTGAACAGACACGAACATCTTGTATCCCAATCTGGCATCATCCAAGTTACGCGTCAAGGAACGGGAGTAACGAGACACCTGCGCGGGGTGCCGTTGATCAACAGGAGGGGAAGTGAGACAGCAGGAGCCAACTCTCCCGCTCCCGAAAGTAGGTCTCAGGTCCTCCGGCAGCGGTACGGCAACGGGCCGTGACTAGTGCCCGTTCCCTGCTTCCTTCCCCGTTGACGTTGACGTTGACAGCTCTTGGCCTCCAATTTGTACGTCTTGAAGATCGTAGGGGAGGAGCGGTCTGGCTTGTCTATTAGATGAGCCTGATATCCTCTGGCAAAGATGAATAGAGTCAGACCCTTCTTGACCATCAAGCTTTAGATTCCAACTTCAAGAAACAAGCAAAGACATTTTCACCACACTTACACCTTCACTCTTCCCCAGTTTCCAGCAAAACATCACTCATGATGCCTGGTCTTCCCACCGCCACAGATGAGGAAGTCGGCTTCCAGCCGATCCCATCAAACCCCTACCTCACGAAGCCGCCATCTGCTCCAGGCTCATTTCCCAAAGGCAAGTCGTCATGGGGTTCCTTCATGCCCCCCAACACCTACGAGCCCATCGTAGACGAGGGAATCATCCACTTCAACCCCGTCATCATCCTCTTCATGTCCCTCATCCCAAAGGACGACCTGACCAAGGCTGTTCAATCGGCGTTGAGAAAAATTCCAGACTTTATGAAGAACATGGGCATCAGTGACGCGGACACGTTCTACAAGTTTGCCAACGACATGCTTAAGTGGACGCCCACCGAGAACGTCCAGGCCAAGGATGTGTACGACATCCTGTGCCTGTTCTACTTCATCCTCGACCAGGAGCCGCTGTTGGGCAAGCAGACACTTGTCCACCCGAGCTCGGTAGGACTGCCCCTGACCCCGCTCTCCAGCTGGATCGTGGTGTTTGCGCAGCTCATCGGGCTCTTCATGGACACGACCGCGTCCCTCAACGAGACGACGTTCCAGACGTTTGTCGACTCGCCAAAGTACATGATCAAGGAGGAGGCGCTCATCCCCGAGGGCGGCTTCCGCACCTTCAACGATTTCTTCTCTCGCCACCTCAAGCCGGGTGTGAGGCCCATCGCGGACAAGGACGATGATAGGGTCATTACTTACCCGGCGGACTGCACCTACGACAACTCGCTTCACAACCAGAGCATCGTCAATGTTCAGGATACGGGCATCATCGAGATCAAGGGACTCCCCTGGACCATCGGTGCCCTGCTTCAAGGTAGCGGGTACGCAGACTGCTTCCACGGTGGTGTCTGGATGCACGCCTTCCTCAACACGTTCAACTACCACCGGCAGCACGCGCCCGTCTCCGGGACGGTCATCGAGGCCAAGAACATCCAGGGCGCAGCGTACCTTGAAGTGGACCAACAGTGTCGTCCGATCCGCAAGCTCTTCGTGACAGACGAGGACATTAAGAAGGACCCCGCCTGCCGGCCCGAGGCGCCCGACTCCCCGGGATACCAATTCCTCCAGACGAGGGGCCTGGTAGTCATTGACAACCCGGTGCTCGGCAAGGTGGCCGTGCTGCCGATTGGCATGGCCATGGTCTCGTCGGTCAAGCTATCGGTCCGCGTGGGAGATAAGCTGAAGAAGGGCGACGAGATCTCGACGTTCTTGTTTGGCGGGTCGGACATTATCTGCGTGTTTGAGCCGCGTGCCAAGTTGACGCCTGAGCACTTTGTGCCGTCGGCGAAGGACGACTACTCGAGGTACGGGAGTGTGTTGGCGAGGGCGCCCGGGCAGGGCTCGAATGGGACTTCGAACGGGCACCACTGATTTGGTTATTTCACGCTCATGTCTGTACGGGTACTCGTATGCTATAGCGCCGAATGGTGATATCTGAAGTCTGATTTCTGTTGAGAGAGTGAATGACTCTTGCCCTTCTGCATTCGCCGTGTTTCCGGAATGTCCTTTGCAAGACGGCGGGGTTCTCAAAGTGTCCTTGACTCCGAGAATCACACAAACATTGTTCGTGCCTAAGAGTGGATTTCTTTGCCTGGCAAACCGGCCCAGAGGCCTCCACAGCTCGAGGTGGCGGCAACGGCGAGCCTCATGATTTCAGAGTCGCGGTCTGTTCTTGAAACAAACTCAGCTCGGCGGAGACCAGACGGGAGGACGAAGGCGGAAGACCTTGGAAAGACGCAAGGCGAAGAAGCGGACCGGCCCGTATAAGATGGAGAAAAGTGCATTCAGGGCAAATCGATCAAAAGGCGGTGACTATGTTTACCAAGGCATGCATGGAAAAGGGGAAAAGTGATGCTACGTGGTGTAGGTTTGCGGCTCTCGTATTCAGGGGTAAGTAAATGCGGAATGTCAGCCTCAATGGAGGGAAACGGAAGGAAGGGTGAAAAAATAGAAGGATGCTTATTGAATGGCTGGGAAAACGGAGTCGGGCGAAGGTGTGTGAGGTTGGGTGACGTTGCAAAGCCACTTGCGCTTGTGCAGCTTGACGTGTCCGACGGTGGGACATCCGACAGCGCTTTGATGTTGAAGCATCCAGGCTCAGGCTGCATCTTGTTTGCTGGTCGATGGTTCCGTTAAGATGCAGCTTCCTTTCGGGTACAGATGACTCATTGCTACATCCGAGACCTTTTCTCTTTTTGCTGTCTTCTTTCCTCGCCGTTTCATATCATGTATTGAGGGAATCACCATCATTGACAACTTAAGAAAAAGAAGGCAGGAATGTACGAATGAAGGTACGGGGTAGTCGCGCCTGCCAGGTTCATCCAAAAATTAATTAACCCCCAGCCACCTGTTTACGCGATTCTATGGAGACCTCAGCTAATTGAGTGGATTCCATCACGTGCGATAAGAGCTTCAGCCTATCGATAAGCTGCTGACCGTCGCTGCGCCAGGGGGTGTGGCGCCAAGAAGGAACCCGTTACCCCGCGCAACCACGTCTGCAAGTCTGCCCTTCTGCAAGGACCGTCTTTCGCTGACACTTGGAACTGGAACCCGGTTGCTTGCTGCCGCCGCTGGCTGCTGGGTGGCGAGCTCACAGACTGGCCAACCCACTCTCACTCCCGCCCATCTTTCTCTTTTTTCTCGGGACTGCCTGCCTTACCTTACCTTAGTCTCTCTTCACTAAAGATAGTACCTCGAGGTTTATCTTGAGAGATTTCATTGTTCTCCTTCACTTTTTTTTTTCGGAGTTGAAGCAGAAGAATAATCGTTTTCTTTTGCTTCACACTTTCACCAACACCGAGAAATCACCCCCACTTACCTCCGGACGTCTCACCGACCGGCTCATAGGGACCCTCCCAACCCCCCCTCCAAGACAAACACATTCCTCGGGGGTCCCTTTCTTTCGAGTCGAGTCTCCCACGATAGAGACACCAAACGCAATCAGACAATCCCGCATTCCTCAGATCTACCGGCACCGAACTGAAGGACCGCTTTGCCCGTCGTCGCCATCATGGCGCCGGCAGATGGGTACTCGGCGCCGGGCGTCGCTTCCTACGACTCCAACACCATGACGGTCGGCGATGGCACATGGGACTTTAGCAAGAATACCTTCCTGTTGCCCAACCTCGTCGGCCTCAATTTCGAGACGATGCAGTACAATGGTGAGCCTACTTTGATCTTGAATACAGCGTTTCCGATGTGGCAGCTGCCTGACTAACACGCGACAACCCACAGGCATGGGCAATCGCTTCTCGACCGTCGCCCAGTACCATACTCTCATTCTCGCCCACGGTGTCATGGCCGCCATCATCTTCCTCCTCATCGTACCATTATCCGTCTTCACAGCCCGCTTCTACACGGCGAAACCGGGGTACGCGATACCCTATCATGCCCAACTCAATATCCTCGCGGCCCTTATGCTCGTCGCCGTCTTCGTACTGGGCTGGTTCGCCGTTGGGCCCGAACGAAGCTGGACCAACCCCCACCACGCAATCGGCCTGGCCATCTTTATCATGTTCCTCCTCCAAATCATCGGCGGCCGGCTTGTGAGACATATCAGGGGACGTTCGCTCCGCAAAATGTTCCACCGTTGGAGCGGTCGACTCATTGCGCTCCTCGGCATCATTCAGGTCCCGCTCGGTCTGACCCTTTACGGCTCGCCCAAGTGGACCTTCATCATCTTCTCCCTCTGGCTAGCTTTCTTGCTGCTCGTCTATTTCATCCTGAGCTATCGCGCCGAAGGTGCAGACCACCACCGTGGCCGTGAGACCTACATTAGCGGAGGCCGCTCTGAGGGCCCAAGCGGCATCACCGAGTCGGAGTACTACAGCGACGTCTACACCGAGAAACCCAAAAAGGACCGGAAATGGCTGGCGCCTCTCGCGGCGGGCGCGACCATCGCCGCTCTGTTCAGTCGCAAGAAGCACAAGGAGAAGGAGAAGGAGAAGGAGCTCAGCCGGGAACGATCGCGATCAAGGAGCCGCAGCCGTGGACCGGAGGTTATCGGTTCACGACGTGGATCCGCCAGCTATCTCACGCCCAGAAGGGGCTCGGGCACATACCTCGAAGACGAAAAGCTCACCGAAGTTGATTCTCGCAGGGACGACAAGAAGTCGGGAGGTTTGCTGTCTAAGCTGGCCGGCATTGGCGCTGTCCTGGGCGCTGGCAAGCTCGTGTCGAATCTGATGAAGCGCAAGGAAAAGCGGACCTATGACGAAGAGTACTCCGCCGTTTCGGTAGAGACCCCGAGACGTCGCCCGAGTCGAAGCTATCCCGCTACGAGTGAGTATACTGATTACACGGACTGGACCGAGGACACCCCGCCACCAAGACGTGGACCCCGCGATGGCCCAATCTTGCCATCGCCTGGAGGACCGACAGCGGCAGCTGCGGCCCTAAGCGCTGCCGAACCGAGAACCAATCGTCCACCGCACGCCAGAACCCGGTCACAGTACAGCTACGAGGACTCGGAATACTCATCGTACGTCAGCCCGTCTAGACGGCATGAGGGCCCACAAGCTGGCGCCGCCAGTGGGGCCGGAAAGGGCATCCTTGCTGGCCTTGGCCTAGGATGGTTCGCCAAGAAGATGGCCGACCGAAAGGCGAAGCGCGCCGAGGAGCAGAGAATCCGCGAAGAGGAGGATATGAGATCTGGTATCACAGGGTCGAGGTACACGGGAGACGGCTTCAACTCTCCCTCCCGCGACCGGAGAGGCTCCCGTCGCATGAGCGGGCGTCGGCCGCGACCTCCCATGTCTGCTTTGAGCACCGAAATCACACAAATGACCGAATCCTCCGAACTGGAACCTCGACCTCCGGGCACCGGCTACGGAGGCCCACCGATGCCACCCCTCTCCGCCGGTCCCCCACCCCCTCCAGGAGGACCAGGAATCTACCCTGTCGGCGACCACTCCCGCACAACCTTCTCTAGACACGAAGTCGTCGAATCGGGCATCAGCATGCCCTCGATGCCCCCCGACCCAGCAGGTGTCCTCCACCGCGAATCCGAAACCGACGTCTACGGCTCGCCCGGCGGCCGGCCCCGACGCCGAGACTCTTCCAAGCGCAGGCGCGATGGGGAAGAAGCCGCCGCTGCCGCCGTCGCATCAGCGAGCGTTCTCGCCGCCGAAGAGCACGCCCGTCGCCACCGCGCCCAGTCCGAGCGCTCGCAACCTGTGAGCGTCAAGGTCCGTGTCCACGACGACAAGGACAGGAACGTCACGCTGCGGAGGCTTACGGAGGAAGAAGCCGCCGCTAGCAGGCGCGGGGACAGGCGGAGGCGCGCCGGGTCTGTGAGCAGTCTTTACGGAAGCGAAGTCGGCAGTGGACGACGGTACCGCCGGGACTCAAGTCAGAGGAGGGCAGAATCAGCGGCAGAACGACTGGCAGAAACAGGAGGAAGAGAAGGCAGCCTCCCACCGCCGAACCCTGCTTTCGCCGCAGGACGACAACCAAAGGACTCGGCATACTACTCTGGCGGCCCGCCGCCGCCGCCACCGGGCGTGATGATGGGCGATGGAAACATCTCGAGCATAGGCAGCGAGAATACCCACGGTACATGGAGCCAATTGAGCCCCTCGCCCAGTGCGGCAGACGTTCTGAAGACTAACCCCGTCGAAACCGCAGCAGCCGATAATCGTCGTAGACGCAGGCAGGAGCGTAGACGGAGCAGTGCAAGTCGCCCCACGGGCGCCGATATGTTTGATTAAAGTTGCCTCTGGCGTAGAGGTAGAAAAAGAGTCTTTTTTAGAAAACCCTGCCGCAACCGCACCCGCAAACGACGAACAGTTCTTACATGACGATAATCGCCCCGTACATTATCTTCTCTTTTACGACCGAGACGACGTCAATATTGAACCCTTCTTTTCTTTTTCTACCGAGCATAATAGGGTTCGGTAAGTATCATCTGATTGCGGAACAGCAAGCAAGCAAAGCTATGAGGACGAAAGAGGGGAGAAGAAACACGAAATGAGAAAGAATGCATTGGGTCGGGGGAGGCTCCAGTCTGAACCCCCGAAAGGAGTTATACAATTTTGATTTTGTGGCATGAATTGGTCGGGGGCAATTTTCCCACGCCGTATGGGTTGCCGTTTACAAATGTATGGAGGGCGGACAAGTAGCAACCCTTCGAACTGAGATGATTGTACGAAAAGAATAACGCAAAGGTGGTGGTTACGGTAGTTGTGGGTATAATTGGAAAAAAAGAATTCCTTCATCAATGTTTGATATCTCCATGTGACTTCATGTAAACAAATATCCCGACCTCACTGATTGTTCATGATGATCGCTGCATTCGGAATGTCATTGTGTCGGCTGCGTGCCGTTATCATTCTAAGCAGCCAAAGCTGCTTCTTATGTATCGTGGTCTACAGCCTCATGACCGTCCTCCTCTCGCATTCTAGAAGTGGTGGTGAAGGACAAAGGAAAAGCGCCCCTCCATGCCTTCCCTTTCATCTCATCGCTGTTGCTTCCCTTGATGCGCTCCTCAACTAATCCAAAAAGACATCCTGAGTCAAAAATCATAAGTGGAAAGTGAAAAAAAAGAAAAAAAGGGCGTGGCAGAACCTTTTCCGCCTCGGTGGTCATTTCATATGCCCAAACTCCTTGCATGTTTCCCAAGTCCGATCCAATTGCAAAGGGAAACCTCGTTTCCATTCGTTCCAGCGCCGCATAAACCCAACGCCAAATGAGTGTATTCCAAGCACTTTTAGTACTCGGCACCACCAAAACTCTTGTTCCTCGTGAGGGTCGCACGCTTGATACTGGCTCGCGGGAGATGCTCGTAGCTCTTGTTGCGGCTGCGAGCCGTGCCGGGACGAATTCCGGGAGTGGCGGGATCACCCTCCTCGGCCGCAATCATGGCGTCTGCTGGCAAGGATGCACTTTCCTTGATGCTAGCAACGAAGAAGGAAGAAATAAGCACGGCGATACCGCCGAGGGCTAGCACGATAGCAATGGAGTGATCGCCTGGGGTGCCGCGAGGCTTCTGCCAAATTCTAAAGATGATGCTGGATCCGACAGTAGCAATAATTTGAGGCGCAGCGATGGCCATGTTGTGAATGCCCAAGATGACGCCGGCCTGGTCTGCCTCCTCACTATCGCTCATATCGGTCTGTTCTGAGTCGGCAGTAGAGTCGATGGTAGAGGGTGACGCCGGCCCATCGCCTCGGCTGGGGCTGAATTGCCGTTGCTTTCTCTGGCGAATCTTTGCATCCCTCCGGCTGATCTCGGCGCTGATGATGGCCCAGGGTGCCCAAAGTGTCATTGCCCAGGTGATACCAACCAAACCGATCAGGGCCGTGGCCGCTTCTACCGTACGAACAATGACGGTGCAGAACATGGCGCCCGAGAAGAGAATCATGGATGCGAACCAAGCCCGCTTGAGGGTAAAACCGGGGATCTGCAGGCGATCCAGCCAGGAAGCCTTCTCATCACCAAACTCTCCACTGTCACTGTCTCCTGGGAGATCACCCAGTGGCTGGCTGTCGTATGTAGGCGCGACGAAAAAGGGGAGGAAGACGTTCGTGAGCAAGCTGACGACGGAGTTGATGAGCAGGGCAAAAGTTCCAATACGAGTTGCTCTCTCGTACAGTTGGTCGAGTTCTTCCGGCGTCATGTGGGGGTTGGCCTCCAAGTACGGCTCGACGTAAATCTCGCCAATGTACGAGGAGGTGTAGAAGAGAAGCGGGAAGAAGCCAACCCATGCGCACAGCTGGACTTGGCAGACTCTCCTGATCTGAGGCGGCAGACGCTTGATGGAGGTGAAAATCTTGCCGAAGAATGAAAATACGCCAGGCTTGCCCGCAGTCGGCGGGCCTTCCAGCCGGGGGTCGCGCTCCTTGATCAATGTGGTGCTTACTGCAATGGTTGCCGCAAGAGCAATGCTGGCGATGGCGCAGAGCACCTTGAACTGACTGTCGCCCAAAAACCAAAGGTATGTAGGGAGATTGATATAGCCAGCAATGTAGCCGACGATGTTTCCGAAACCGGTAATGCGACTCGCCATGGCGTTGGCAGCTTCCTGCTGGTGAGCTGGAGCACAGTCCACAATGAAGGCCCGAATAGAAGCCTGCACGGTGTTGATGGCGAAGTCGAGGACGTAGATGCCAACCACAGCCACGCAGATGATGGTGTTTTTGACGGCAACAGATTCAATATCAGCGCCAAAAAGGCCCATGATGCCACCCACGATTTCCCTGGTCCATGCCAGGAACATGAGAGAGATGATGGTCGCGATAGCCCCGCCGACCATGAAGGGTTTCCGCTTTCCCCACGGGAGTCGGCAATTGTCGCTGAGCATACCGACATAGGGCTGAACCAAGGTGCCGGTAAGCGGGCCAGCAATCCACACCAGGGCCATCAACGACTTGCTCAAGCCGAGGGATAGCAAATAGGGAGACCCATTTGACAACTCGACAGACCAGGCAATCTGTAAACCTCCGATACTAATTGTCAGGAGGATCAGGTACCATACGCTCTTGGTTTGCTGCGTGTCTTCCTGCTGCGCTGCCAGTACCGCGTGATGGTCAAAGTAGCCTTCGTCATCGCTGTTGGGGGAGAGCAGCGGCGATCGCTCACTGCGTACGCCTCTCTCCTTGGGATTCGACGGTGCAGATTCGGTGCTCTGGGCGATTGATGGCATCGGACGGCCCCTCCTGGGGGATTGAGACTGAGACGAAGGCATCTTCGGTCGTTGAGCGTCAAGCCGCGACGACTCGGAAGTGAAGCGATTCGGAAGGTCGATTTCGAACAGGCCCACTAGCGGGGCAAGCTGGGGAAGCGTTCGTTCGTTGCGGGGAGCTCGCCTCGATCGATTGACACACGAGTCTATAGACTGGGCCGACTAATCAACAAGCGATGGGAGAGTATATAAATGGCGGTTAAAATTTGCAACGGCAATGGCCAGTGTTTGTTCGTTGCCGGGTTGGGCAGAAAAAGAAGTTGTGTTGTCACGCGGTCAAGTGGGAGGATGCCACGAGACCCCCGAACACGGGCTGCTGGTACAAGGTGATTCGATTTCTGACGATGACAGAGCGGCGGCAGGAGTGTGCGTCATTCGCTGGCTGGGAACTGCGCCCTGGCTGAATGACCAACTGTATGGTGCAGGTCGGTTCCTGATTCGAGCCCAGGCTATGCGGTTCGATGCAGGCGAGGGCAAATGAGGAGCTGTACCGTCGGTTGAGGTGGTGTGCTAGGGTTGCGCCTGGATGTCCGAGTACCTACTCCTAGGGTAAGAATAGGCCTGGTTCCGAGTCTCGACTCGACAAGCAATGTAGCGGACAGCGGGAGAGCGGCAGCCAAATGCACTGTCTGGGTCCGCTGGCAGTGGCAGATAGAACCAGGGGCGAATTTGTAGATGAACTGGCGGAGCGAGGCGAATGAGGTACGAATACAACTGGTGTTTTTGATGGACGGACTGAAGCGTTGTGTCGATCCGTCTCTCCTGCTTGATGGTCTAGAGAGTCTGAGACTGGACGAGGAAAGCAGCTAAGATGCGACCTCGGGCAGGTTAGGTTGGCGTGGTCGGATGGATAAAGACTGCACGTGGCGAAAAGGGAGGAGCAACAGATGGTCGAGACACATGGAACGTTGAAAAGAGATGGTGAGGGGGAGGGGAACGAGATGTTATTATTTATTCGCTTGGTTCCGGGCAAGTTGAGTGGTGGAATTGGTGGAATCTTCCACAGCTAGTAAGGCGCGGGTTCCGGATGAGGAAGAGAGGAGAGGAGATGGCTTGGAGGCTGGGGAGGGCGAAAGAAAAGAAGACAGAAGAAAGAGACGGGAGACAGGAAGATGGCGGGGCCGAGAGTCTAACACAGTAGGTTCAGGTTGAGGAGAGTGTCCAAGTCGCGATGGCATCGCACACGCACACGCACAGGAGACGGTGAAAGAGAGGCGACAGGCGACCTTGCTTCCTGGCCTGTTCCCGGGGTGGCCCCCGCACTCAGTACGTCATGCCCGTAGCTCCTTCTCCCGCTACGTTTGCTCCTATCTTTTTTAGGGGTATCGCCCAGTCCCGACTTCCCATCGAAGTTGCCCCAGACGAAACGCCCGCCTATTTTCTTTGGACTGCAAGGATGCTTGCTGCTACTACTGCTGCTGCTGCTGCGCAACACGGGAAAGACAATCTGCACACCGACGTTGCTATTTCATCACCTCATGGTTGGGAAAAATCAGAATGGGAATAGAACAGAACAGAGAAGAAGGAAACAACACAACAGACTTGATAGGCGTGCATTGGATCATCCACCGGTACTTGCTCAGACAATACCTATAACAATATGGACACATGTAAGCCTCGTGTGCGCGTTGCATAAGCCATCTTCAGGCAAAGGTAAGGTACGATAGGGCACAATCTCACCATCTCACCATCTATCTCACTCATCTGGCCCCCCCTCGGATCGCAACCCCGTGTCTCTTCGTGTGGTAGAACAACCGTCTCCGGCTGACGGTGCCATTCATCCGGCTGATGAGCCCTCACGAGGGATCTTGATCAAGTGCTACCCCGGTTTCCCAGCAAGTCCTGGCACAGCACCCTCAAGTGTCAGATGTCTTACCGGCAGTGCACATCCACAACACCCTCAGCTTGGATGGTCCCTATAACCGTTTTCCACTGGACCTCTTACGGCCCCGGACATGGAGTGGAAGCTGGGGAAAACAATGGGCCTTTTCTACCTTGCGGAGTACCTACACCAGTAGATGTCACGACGCTTACCTTAGGCAATGCAATGCCGCAGTGGGTGGTATGGAGCAGGTCGCTGCCAACTGCCCAGCTGCGTTGGGCCCAGTGTTTGCCCGAGTTCTAGAATCCTACCCTTGATGGAGCACCTTAGCACCTTTTTCGCAACTGCCAACTGTTCCTCGAGAGCACGTGCCGTGTCATATGAAGTCATGCTTCCTGCAGGCAGCGGCCAAACTCGGCCCAATCCTCCTGCCATTTCCATTGCGTGGACTCTTCCCTACCTTCCTTATGCATCAAGGTAGAATATGTAAGATGACAATCATTCATGCAATACCAAAGAAGAAGTAGGATGATAGCCAAAATTTGATACAAACAGAATATTCAGTCTTATCGGGACACAAGGGAGGGGGGGCCTACCTAATCCTCGACGTGTCCCACCACTCCGTCTCACCCGGTTCGGGCCCGAGCTACCTTACCTTACACTACAAGTTACAACCTACAGGCTTACATCGGCCTGGGCCCGCAGTACCCGGTACTTTAGGATCTACGCTTGGCGCTGCGTTTTCCGCCGACAGCTAGTGACACCCGCCCGCTCTCGATTGTAACTCTACCACCCCGCCGAGGCTACGCAAGCAAAACCGCCCGTCAAACAGCACCCATCCAATCACCGCATCGCTTCAGAGCCACTTCCAGCCAGTGTGCATTGTTGCAGCCTCCGACCAGTGGCTGGCTCCCGTCCCGTCCTGCTTGTCGACGTGCGCTGCGTCTGTACCTCTAGTGGACACCTCTACGAACCTTACTTCGGAACTGGCCTTTTGCTGTAGCCTGCCCGTTCTTCGATCGCATTGGCATTGAAACCTGGCGATATCTCGAAAAAAGCTACCGACCTAGAGACTCTTGTCGTCAGCTCATAACCCTGCGGCGTACGACGACGAGCTGGCCTGTTAATGATCTCCATCCGCCCATCTCGGAGCTCACCCGCGAGCCGCCGGTCGCCCAGCTTTCCTCTCGATTCTGGATCCTACTCCGTCACCAATCCATAAACAACGACATCGTCGCGAAATCGCCCATACGATATGATATCGGCCACGGATATTGCGGGAACGGCCTTGCGCCTTGTCCGTATGTTACACGTCAACACCCTGCCTCTCGCAGGCGTCGAAGCTGCCTAAGCTGACTTTGTTTTGCCAGAACGTGCCGCCGAAGAGGGTGACCCTGAAGGTAAGCTATCGACCGGATTCCCTTTAGCCCTTGCGCTCCCGACGATTGCGACTGACCGCATAAACCAGGCTCCGATGGCTCACAGAAGGAGATTTTCGCCGCATGGGCGCTATTCATCTCCATCATGCTTCTCATTACAGCCTTCTTAACGAGCTACTTCCTCCAAGAGAGAAAGATCGAGGCCGTCCATGAGACGGTCATCTCCATCTTTGCAGGTCCGTCCCCGTCGCCTCTATAACAAGTACGAATTGGCCTCTAACGCATGCTCTAGGAATGACTATCGGACTGCTCTTGCTCGTGACCTCTGGCGATTCGATCCGAAACCTCATCAGCTTCGATTACCAAATCTTCTTCAACCTACTACTACCACCGATTATCCTTGCCTCCGGCTACGAGCTACACCAGGCCAATTTCTTCCGAAATATGGGCACTATCCTGACGTTCGCTTTCGCCGGAACCTTTCTTTCAGCTGTCGTCATCGGCCTCATCCTGTGGCTCTATGCGCTGACCGGAGTCGAGTCCATAAGCCTGTCTTTTGTCGACGCCATTTCTGTCGGCGCGACCCTATCGGCCACCGATCCCGTCACTATCTTGGCCATCTTCAACTCGTACAAGGTGGACCCCAAATTGTATACCATCATCTTTGGCGAATCGATCCTCAACGACGCCATTGCTATTGTCATTTTCGAGACAGCGCAAAAGTACAAGAAAGGCGATGCCTCCAAGCTCGGCTTTTTGAGCTTCTTTGAGGGTATCGGCATCTTCTTGATCGTCTTTTTCGGAAGCTTGTTGATTGGCGTACTTGTCGGAGTTATGACGGCACTGCTTTTGAAACTCACCTACATTCGACGATACCCCAAGAACGAGAGTTGCCTGGTTGTGTTGATCGCATATGCCACATACTTCTTCTCGCACGGCATCCATATGTCTGGTAAGATCCTCGATAGTCCCTTGTTTCGCATTAGCACATGACTAACACTCTAAAAGGCATTGTGTCATTGCTATTTTGCGGTATAACGCTGAAACATTACGCTTATTTCAACATGTCTCGTCGGACCCAGCTCACGACCAAGTTCATCTTCCAGATCCTCGCGCAGCTGTCAGAGAACTTTATCTTCATTTACCTCGGTCTAGCGCTGTTCACGGATAATGCGCTGCAGTTCCGACCATTACTGATCATTATTACTGTTTGCGCTGTGTGCGCTGCTCGCTGGGTGGCGGTGTTCCCTCTATCTCGTCTCATCAACTGGGTCATTCGTTACAGGGCCCGCCGGAGGGGCGGAGGAGAGGTGAGCGATGAGCTGCCCTACAACTACCAGGCAATGCTTTTCTGGGCTGGTCTGCGTGGAGCCGTTGGCGTCGCTCTTGCTGCGCTGCTTACCGGCGAGAACTCCTACGCGCTCAAAGCCACCGTCCTGGTAGTTGTGGTGCTGACGGTCATCATCTTTGGCGGCACGACGGCGCGCATGCTGGAGATCCAAGGAATCCGTACCGGAGTCGTCGATGAGATTGACAGCGACGATGAATTCGACATTGAGCCGTTTAGCGGTGGACAGTATGTCAAGCGCAACAGCACCGGCATCGGATATAATCCTAGGCGGAACGGCAGCCTGTCGCTGGACAACATCTCCTCGCGCAACGGCGCTCGACCACCCGTGGGATCGGAACGCAGTAGCTATGTTTCCGGCTCACACTCGCCGAACCCGATTAAGAGGCAATCGAGCCTAAGTCGCAAGAACTCTGAAATTGAGAGATCCGATCTGCTGGGACGGAGCGGCAACACGACAGACTCGGACCTCGGGAGCGATATCGATACATCAGACCTCCCGCCCCCAGCTCGCCGGGACCCGCGTCGCACGAGCCCCATGGCCACACCCGGAGTCTCGCAGGCGACCGGGTCTTCCGCCGGTGGTCTCCTCGCACAGACTGAGCCCACCGCTGGAGCGTCGATTGCGCCTCACCACGTCTCAGCGACGACTGCCATCAGACAGCTCTTCAGCCACGGAGCCGAGGACGCGGCGGGTCTATTCAGACAGCTGGACGAGGACTATATCAAGCCGACGTTGCTGCTCGACGGCAATAATCGCGGCAACGGCTCGGGCTCTGGCCCGGGTGCGGTCTGAGGCTAGTTTGCTGATTATTGGCGCGCGGGTATTCATGGTCCATTTTCTTCTCTGTATATGTCTCCAAGGGAAGGGAAGGGCGGGCTTGCTGGGTTTTCTCTATTGCTTCTAGAGACGTGGTCATGTATCGCACGCACTCCGAGGCGATGCCAGGAAGTGTCAAGTCGCATTCAAACGGGCGTTTTGGGCGCATATTTATAGAGAGCTTGGCCGTTTCTTACGGCCATGGAATTTTCGCTAGCAAAACTTTGATGAAAAACATGCAGTTGTACATCTTTGATGATGTTGAACGTGTCCTGACTATGTCCGTATTACCCTCGTAAGGAAGTCTAGTAAGCCAGTGGCTGGCGATGGTCTCGATCACATCTTATGACATCAAGACAAACAGTAGCGAAGCGGAGGTATCTTTGTTAACTTTCTTAATTCTTCATTTGCATCTTTTGCCTTTTTTCTCGTCGGCAGCCGACTTCTTGCCCCCTTTTTCCCCCATCTCTAGAAAAGAGCAAGGTAGAGAAGAGAGCCCTGCCGCTGCCGTCGTCTCTCTCTCTCTCTTCTCGTCTTCGCATTACAAAGTGGTTATATACAACCTAGTTCCGTACCAAGTTGTCTTCGTCTTTGGGGGAAGAAAACAAGTGAGAATCTCACAATTGTGGTGGTGTTGTTCTCTTTCTATGTACATAAATGTTTGTTTCGTCTGCTCGCGAAAACCGCTCGCTTTGGCCCGCCCCCCCTTCTTGTTCCCCAACTCGTCTAATCAGTAACGCCCGTCGTCTACTCGTAGCGAGAAACAGGTAAGAGAGATATAACAAACCCACCAGTTCCCAAAAGAAACTAGAGGGGGGCCAGCGAGCGGTGCGACGACTACGCAGGATGTGTGCCCTTCTTCTCCCATGGGGCTAATCCATCCGCGACCTCCGCGACGCCTACTTTGGCATGATGATGATGCCTGTCCTCCCGCCACGTCCTTGGCGTTTGGTATTCCTACTCCCGATAGAGCTTCATATCGTTGTTCGCATAGTAATATTGATGTCGTTCATGTAACCATGAACGCGCTCCCTTTTCCCCGTTCAGGGCGCGGGCGTAGCAGATGGTGTGGCGCTTCCACTGGCTTGGCGCTGCTGCTGGGCTTGCTGAGCTTGCTGAGCCTGCTGAGCCTGTTGCGGAGCCTGCTGCTGGGCTTTCTGTTGTGCCTGCTGCTGAGCCTGTTGAACCTGCTGGGACGGCTGAGATGGCTTAGCTTGCTGTGAGACTTGCGGCGATTGCTGTGCCTGCTGAACCTGTTGAGCCTGCGGAACCTGGGGTGACTGCTGTGCCTTTGGTGCCGGCTGGACCTGGGGTGATTGCTGCACCCTCTGAGCCTGCTGGACTTGCGGCGACTGCTGCGCCCTCTGAGCCTGCTGAACTTGCGGCGATTGCTGTGCTCTTTGAGCTTGCTGGACCTGCGGCGATTGCTGCGCCTTTTGGGCCTGTTGAACCTGTGGCGACTGTCGAGCCTGTTGCTGCGGCTGCTGTGGCTTTTGAGCTTGCTGCGCGTGTTGAGCCTGCTGGGCCTTTTGGGCTTGCTGAGCTTGCTGGAGCTTCTGAGCCTGGAGAAGCTGTGCAGCGTGGAGAGCCTGGGCCGATTGAGCCGACTGAGGCCTTTGGATCTGAGCCTGCTGTGCTTGCTGAGGCGTGTGTGCCTGCTTCGGAACCTGCTGAGACTGCGGAGGCTGCGGCGTATGCTGGGGCTGGGGCGTGGACTGAGGCCGTGCCTGGTGCTGCTGCTGGTGTTGCGTATGCTGAGGCTGCACGTGTTGCTGCTGACCATTTTGCTGCTGATGGTGTTGCTGTGCCTGTTGCTGGCCATGGTGCTGTTGGTGGGCTTGCTGGTGTTGCCCATTCGGAGCCTGACCATTCTGTGCCGCTGCTGCCGCTTGTTGTTGTTGCTGCTGCTGCCTAAGAAGAGCAGCATACTGATGAGGGCTAGTCGTGGCAGCAATGCCATTAGCAATACCCGGAGATGAGGCGCCTCCACCGCCAGCAGCCGCGTTCATGGCATTTTGAGACATGGTCGTCCTCTGATGAATCATCAGGCGAGTGAGATGCTCCGTAGCATGTTGTCGCACGAGCTCAGGTGTCCAGGTCGGGTTCTTGTGCCGATATTGGGCTTCCAGGGCACTAAGCTGTTGCTGGATTCCGGGTGGCACTTGTGTGAGGGGGCGAGGTGAACCTGAAGTGCCGTTAGGCATATGGAGACCACCGGCAGGAGACGTAGCCACCCCACCACCATTAGCAGCGTTGAATGCCATCATGGCTTGGGCATTAGCCTGAGCATTGGCGATGAAGCTCTGCTGATTCACACCGTTGACGCCGTTGACACCATTAACGCCGTTAGCGCCGTGGACGCCATTAACTGATGCGGGCCGCATGTTTGGCGGAGAGTGAGACTGAGACGCATGAGATGTCGGTGTTCCCTGGTGCAGTTGCTGTTGTTGTTGTTGTTGCTGCTGCTGCTGCTGAGCCGGTTGCTGTTGCTGTTGCTGTTGCTGCTGTTGGGGCTGTTGATGTTGTTGCTGCGGCTGTTGGTGGACCTGTTGTTGGACTTGCTGTTGAGCCTGCTGCAGCTGAACAGCCTGTCGCTGCTGCTCAGAGATACGCCGCGCCTGCATCATGAGATTAACATCAGGCTGAGGGTTGGGCATAGGCATCCTGTGCTGAGCTTGCAGTGCCGCCTGCATCTGAGCTGTCTGCGCCCCGTTCATTGGCATGGGAGGCACGAGGCCGCTCATCTGAGCGGGGACTCCGCCCATGTTCGCGGTCGGAGCCTGCATGGGCATACGACCTCGGCCTGCTTGACCCGGAACGGCGAGCTGATTAGGCATGTTGGGACGGGCCATGTTGCCGTTGACTTGACCCGCGACGCCTGCCGGTACTTGGCCTGCGGCGGGCGTCGTGGCGATCTGTGCGGCGACCTGGCCTCGCTGCTGCATCGTGATGCGTCTCTGGGCCTCCTGGCGCTGATGGAACTGGGCCACCTTCTCGGCAAGCTGCTGGTCGCGCTCCCACCTCATCAAGCTGTAATCCCTAGGTGTCTTGGTAGGTCCTCTGGGTTGCGCGGCCTCGTTGGCCTTCCGCATGGCTGCCATCTGGGTGGCATGCTGCTGCTTCTGAGCCGCAGTCTCGCGCTTCTTGGCCAACTTCCTCATAGCATCGATCAGCGTGAGGTGCTTCTGGTTGCGTCGTCGCTCGACTCTGAGCGGCGTTGAAGGTCTGCGTCTTGCGACCGGCGTTGTCGGCGGCGCTGAGCCGGCAGCCTGTTGCTGCGCAATCTGGTTCTGTTGTATGATGACACGGTTGGCAGCATCGATCCTGTTCTGGTACGCCTTGAAGTACTGCGTCTTTTGCATGTCCGTGGGGAGGCCTTCCAGATTGATCCATCGCTCGAAGCATTCCCAAGGCGTCCTCCGCTCAGCGCCGGATGTGAAAACGGATCTAGGCGTGAGAAGGCTAGATATGAGCGACCAGTTGTATGAGTACTCGCGGACCAGGCTCCGCAGCTCGTCATCCTCTGCCAATGTCCATTGCGAGGGGCTGCGGCATTCATAGAAGCTTTGCATGGGCATCTGGTATTCCGCCGGAGGGCGGAACTGATGGCCGGCGTGCAGACGGTCTCGAATCGGCTTCATTTCGGGGTTAAACAGGGCCACATCAGCATTCTGCGGCGGTAGCTTCATCCTCTTTGCGGGCTGAGATCCAAACACGACCTTCTCGTCGTCATCCTCCTCTTCCTCTTCGTACTGGTAACGACTCCTCTTTCTGGGTGGTCCATCCGAAGAAAGTTTCATCTCGCCTTCCACGTATTTGCTCAGGGGAAGAGCAGGGCGACGCCAGTGCGCATCGGGGTCGAATTCGGGAACGGTGAAATCAAACGCCGGGATCTTGAGTGGTTGTCCGTACATCGGAAGCTCCTGAAGCAGCTGGTCTGCGGTCGGTGAACTTCGGAGCTCGAAAACAACGTCGTCATCTTCGAGGGCAAAGATTGCAGACGGGGCCACAGTCTGGAGAACCTCCTCATGTAGCTCGTCGACGTGTTCGGGTGAATCCAGGTCACCTGAAGGTACCAGCTCGGGAGTTGCGTGCGCATCGACCACATCCAGTGAGATATCGGCCATGGAGGCATCGCCTTCGGTCTCGGGCTCGGCCGGCTGCTCCTTGGGCGGAATGTACGCGGGAACTTGGAGCTCCTTGCGTTCTTCCTCACTTGAAGCGATCCATTCGGCACAGGCGTGAGCGAGATTCCGCGCAGCTGCAAGTTTCCATTTCTTTTCTTCCCGGAAATCCGTCCTCATCCACTTCATCTCCTGAAGCAGCACATCCAAATGAGATTCCGGGCGAATAGGCTCCGGACACCTCTTTGGCTGTCGCAATGACCATTTGTCGTGCTGTTGCAGATGATACACGCGACGAAGCACTCGGCATGCCTGGTTGTCTTGGATAGCGACGTAGGCATCCGGAGTAGACACCGTCTTGTGAGACTGGTTAAGTATCACCTCTATCGGCTTCATCCATTTAGATGTTTGTGTAAAACCTTGCACAAAGAGTGGTGTGAAATAGTCATCTGTCGGCAGAAAACTTTGCTTCTGCTGGCTAGGCACCATAGACTTGTCTGCTGATCGTTTCGTCTGCTTGCCAAACACAACTTCAGAAGGCTTGTTTCTTGCCTTTTCCTTGTCCTTCTTCTTGTTGGCAAACGTCTTTGGCCTCGAGGGCGGAGACTGGGGCGTGGAGGTAAGAGGTGTAAGTTGACTTGCGGGCATTTTGACAGTCATTTGTGTCTCTGGACTTGTTTCTCCCAATATTTCGGCCACTGACTTCTGTCTTATTGTTCCAGAAGCCGTTCGAGTTACCGCTCGCTCTGGGTCCTGCGGCGTCTGTGGAGCTTGGTTGAAAGCTTGAGGAGTCTGCATCTCCGTTTGGCTGGGCCCAACAGGTGTCGCTTGTACCTCAACGGAAGGTTTTCCCTCAGACTGGACGTCTGGTTGATCCACATCCATTTTTTCGGGAGCCTGAGACTCCTGGCTGTCCGGAGTGTCTTTGACCGGCTGGCCCGTAGGCGGCTCGGCGGCGGGAGTAGCACTCTGGGCCACACTGGGTGTAATGACCTTTGCTGCGGTAGGCCCTGGAGCTCTGATTTCAACCGGAGGCGGCGTGGGCACCACTGATGTCGTGGGAGGCGACGCTTTCTTCGCAGGTGTTTCGCTCACAGGTGGTGTTGGCTTAGAGTCCATCGCCATAGACTCCTGCAAAAGCTGTGCTTCAGGTCCATCTGGTATTCTGCCGTTGGGCGAATCTGCATCAGGGGAAGCACCGCCTTCGGTCTCCTTAGCCTCCTCTGCCTTACCTACTGCCTTTCTTTCATTAGATGTGGCCTGCCGCTCCACATACTGAGGGCCTTCATTTTCGGGGCTTGTATCTGTTGAGACGTCATGCACAGCAGGAGTCGCGGCTGTCTGCGTCGTTGAGCCTGGTGATGAAGCTCCGTCGGCTACCTTTGCTGAGTCGGGCGGAGGTTTGGCAGCCACGGGAATCGTTTCCTCGGCCTTTTTGAAGTCTGGACGAGCAGGAAGCTGTGCGACGGGTGGCTTTACAACGGATGGACTGGGCGCAGCTTGTGGCGCATCGCCCTTTCGTGGTTGGGCCTTCTTCGAGATGCCATTCGGATTTTCTCGTAGGGGCGCTGGGACGGGCTTTTCGATAGCTGCGGTACTTGTTGTCTCTGCGGCATCTTGTCGCGATGCGTGCAGAGGATTCTTCGTGGGAACGGCTACAGGTGATGGCGGTGGCGGACCTGAGGCAGCCAACGTGGGTGGCTTGGAGGCATCGGGTCGATTTGGTGTCGCTGCAGCAGGCACAGGCGTCGGGGGCTTCGGTGGAAGTGAGGGCGGAAGGGTGAAGGTCGCAGGTGTTCGAGGTGATGGTGCAGCGCCATTCGGGACGTTTGATGCAGCTGCAGCCGGCTTTGGCGACGGTGTAGGAGCGCTCTTCGTTTGGGTTTCGGGGAGGGCAGCATCTTGCTTTACGGGAGGAGCAGGCGCTGGCTCTGGTGCAAAGAGGCCAGAGTTGTCGAGGGACTGTCTTAGGACATCGTAGCGCAGCTGAGGTCGAGCAGGAACATTCGCTTCATTGAGCTTCCGTCCTCTGTAAGTCGTGTAAGCGGCGAGAGGCAACAACTAGAGCCATACGCGACCAAAACGGATCAAAAAAAGCGCGAAAAGAACAGGACAACGTACTGTGAGATGTCGCAGGCCTGCAGGAACTGAAGTTCGGCTGCGGTGGCGGGCGGCGCGTCAGGATTTGCGAAGTCGTTTGTGGGGAGTGCATCGCCCTCGGTCGCGACAGCGAAGAGCTGACGGAGCTTCCGCTTCCTCGATGTTACAATTGAACTAAAAATTGTCAACACGCCGAAAATTATATCGCTAGAATCGCACGAGCGAGCTCTATCGAGCGATGCAATAACTAACCTAAATTCATCGCGTTTGGATCGCAAAAGCCTGGAGCGGTCGGCAGGCCCGACCTCAGTCATGTCATGAGCTGCCGCGACATCCGTTTTGGGCGAAAACGGGATGTCGACAATGATTTCGGAGCGTCGCTGAGATGAAATCGACGATCAAAAGTGATGAAAGTGGTTGTGGTGCGTGATGGCAATTGATCGCGATTGATTTCTGTCGTGGATGGTCGACCAGAAAATTGTCGGTCTACGGGCGCCGCTGGACGGGTGGTGATTCTGGAAGTCACAGGCTGATGGGCAGTTGCTAGATTGGGGGGGTTGATAGACACCCCGGGAAAAATTATTTGTTATCGGAGAATCTGGACACTGTGCCTAGGAGGAGGCCATGGATGCTTCTTTAACAGAAAGCCGAGGGCAATGGGTGGTGCAAAGATGAATGACCGGGGGAGGCAAAAAGGAGATGGTACAGTGCGGTAATCTCTCATGCCAGATAGTCTCTCCAATGGGGACGCCTGGACCGGACCCTCCAACTTTTTGCGGCGCACGCAGGCTACGCAGCACGCTTCCTTGCAGCAGTTGATGGATGTCTGTCCATCGGACTCTGTCTGTTGGGGAACTTGGGGACTTGGGGACGGCCTACTCCTGTTTAGAGTGAGGTGTTCAGTGCTTTTTTTCTTCTTCTAGCGCCGGTGCAGCGCGCCCGCCCTTGCCCGTCCGCATATCAATGGAAAGATGATGAGGTCTTTCAATGTCGCTGGGGACAGGTGTCTGTCTCTGTCTCTCTCTCTCTCTCTCATAGAACCTACCTGCGTGAATGATAAGGCGCGTGTTAGTACGGATAAGTAAGTACCTTCGAGTCTCAGAAGCTTCACCAGGCCTCCCATTCATTTTGCTGTAATAGCAATCTGCACTTCGGATTGCCGCTAGTTGAAAATCAGAATCGGATGGAACATCGCTGAACAGGCCCAAGTGTGCTGCTAACAGTAAGTCTGCCGCTGCTGGTTGGCGACATCTTCCGCTTGATGAATCAGTCAGTGTGAGTGTGTGCATCCTCTTGCCGCCATGCTGTTTTCGTCTAGACCAAGTTACCAACCCAAATTCTTCCACGTTGTGTGTGGCCCGGTCTGGCATCCAATCTCATCAGCATCCCTGCTCCGGTCACATTCCACCGGTGCAAGCGTCTTGCGTTTGCTGTTTGCTTGGATGCTGAAAGTCCCAGGAACCCAGGATGCCTGGACTTGGACTCTTGCAGCTTTACTATTCTTCTCTTCTGCGGCCTGCCATCGCTTCTTACCTGTTCGCAGGCATGACGAGCCCACTCTTGATGTTTCCAGCCTTTAGGCCCCTTGCCTGCGAGGCTCGCTTCCAGCAATGCGACTTTCTTTGCTTGGAGGCTGTCGGGCAAGTGTTGAGAGATTTCGTCTCTCTACCTTGGTGAGATTGTCGTCGCTGTCGATCTCAGCGCCAAAAGGTCATGAGAAGACGCCGGCTCAGTGCGAATGATGACAACCCTCATTTTCCACCCTCACTTGAGAGCGAAAGAGATGAACGCTATCGCACCTATGCTCTCAATGAGACGAAATTCCAACGCTAGAATCGCTTGATTCGATGAACGTTGGTGATGAACGAAGCAACTTTTTCTCAACCACTGCCCGACAATCTCGAAGCCGGGGGACCAGGATAAGACCTGGAGCGTGAGTCGGGGCCCATGGACGCTTTGTGAGTGCTCGTCCCAAAAACTCCGAAGCCCAGCGCACACCCAAATTCAATAGTCTCGTCGCGGAGTCGCGTGGCAGGCTCTGCAAAAAGGTTCGTGAGTTTCGAGTCAGTCGCATACCTCCGAGTTGCCGCGCTGGAGAGTAAAAGTCAGTGACCTGGACAAAAGGTTCTCTCATCCGGGAACGTACAATTTCAGATTTGTTAGTCGTTCATGTGCCACAAAGTGCCTCTTATAAGACAATCAGCTTATACTTATCCTGCCCTCAATTGGATCACCTGGCTCATCGAATTGGGCATGCTCGGGTATTCATGTTACTCGTCGATGAGATACTTCTTATGAGTTTCGTGCAGTAGTCGAGCGCAAGTTAAGGTTGGTGATATCGAAAAAGTGTATAAATGAATAGGCAATCGTACTACGTGAAAACCTTCTCATGAAAAGCGATTGCCGTCGGTCTGGCGATGATTCCGAGTGAGAGGCTCATCTCATGGGCTGCCAAAGATTCGAATTTGAGTGAGGGCGTAGTTGATCCGTTCCGGGTGGTTAAGTTTCCAGGTTGTGCGTCTGCCAAGACGTCACATTCTCTCAGAAGAGAACTCTGAAATGAGAAACGAAACGGACGCCGGTAGTTTGTTTGAGCTTCCCCCGCAAATATTGGAAACAAGACAGACGAAAAATTTAGAGAGAAGGGGATTTGACGACATTGCGCAAAGAGATATTATTTTTACAACGTTGAACATGGAGGCTGAAATCAAAACATGTGTGGGTGCACCAAACCAGCCAAACACACAGCCCGGAGAAAAGAAAACGCAGCGGGAAGTTGTGTGGTTCCAGTTTGCTTGATGCTATTCCGCGCCCCCCCCCCCCCCCTCCCCCCCGCCGCGACCCAATGACAGGCCCAGCTCGGGGCCCCGGGTGTGTGTCCGTTTAGTTTTTACACAACGTTAAATCCTGCAAAGTTATGCAAGAAAACAGCATCGGATTGGTCGGTGTCTATGAAATGCCGATTCGGGTGACATCACGATTCCCACTCCACGAGTTCGCCCTTGCTTTTCAACAGGGGTAGGGGGAAAAGTTGTAGCTGGCCAATCGAATGTTGCACTTACCGGTTCGACGCTGGAGACCTTTTGTTGTAACTCTGTCATCACCACTCGGCCGATCCAGTGCTTGCCAGGTCCCAATGTAGGTAGCGTTCCCGCAGGCCCGTCTGTTGTCAACCAAGTGCGGGAAGACTAGGTATCCAATTGTGCCTGGCTCTCATAGCTTCTCCGTCCTTCTAGACCCATGCTAACCGTGCCGTACTCGTTTCCCAAGTCGGAGCAACCCGTGCGACCAGACTGCCTCGGTGCAACACCCCCTTCTCCCCGAGTTCGTGTCTCTTCACGTGTCCCGTCGAGCTCTAACTCGCGCCGTCCTCCTGATCTTGAAAGGAATTCTACTCCGTACTGAATTCATACAACTACTCTCCGTGCCTACTCACCGTTCCAGTGAAGCTTGCCGTATCCTACTCACCCAACATCGCTCAACGTGACATTGAAACATCATCGTCAACATGTCTTTCTTCGGTCTGGACCTCGCCCAAAAGGGGCTCTCCCTTTACACTGTCAGTGACGTATCAACAAGCAATGTAGCTGGACCACTAAGCTAAAACCAAATGTCCAGATCCCGGCCGCCTTCGTGATGGCCATGCTGCCCAACGTCTACGCCGTCTCCGGAGCAGGGGCGCACTACGACCTCTGCAACCCGCGAAAGATCCAGACCAGCGTCGTGGCCGATGACAAGATAGACAAGATTGTAAGAATGACATCCTTCCATTTATAGACAACCTTACCCTCCTATCCAAGTCCCTTGACCTTCATCTCACACGAAGCTGTAGGCCAAAGCCCGCATCCTCCGTGCCAAGGCCGCTTCGGAGAACGCCTTTGAGACACTCGGCTTCTACTCGGCTGCCGTGGTCGCCGCCAACTTCTCCGGTGTGGACGCCGAGACTGTCAACGTCTTGACGCTGGGCTACATCGGCTCCAGGGCCTTGTACAACATCATCTACGTGCGCCTGCAGGACAACCGGAGCTTCGGCCCCGTGCGAAGCCTCGCTTGGCTTGCCAGCATCGCCATCACTGTTACGTTGTATGCCAAGGCAGCTACACAATTGGCGTCTTCCTGAGCTGGGCTCTTCGATGATAATAGCTCTCAGCGGCATGGGGTACAACCTTTGCCGCGTCTAATGAAACTTTTTTTTTTTTCAATTCAAGCCTCTGTATGAGTGTGATACGTTTCATGTTCACGTGCAATGAAGTGTTTCTTGTACGAGCCTGTCGGTAATCGGTGTCAATGTTGCATAATGGAAAACGGGAAGCAAACGACCTATGGCGGGAGCACAAAGCTTGTTCTTCAATTTGACGGGGTTCATTCGGGACGCACGATCCAGCGCTGTCGTTGTACATGATCAGAGACAGCAGTAAGCCACCTGTAAAAGTGGCCAACATCGTAGCCATATCCATTCGGAAGGAAGATAAGTCAGCTCATCCTAAGCTCGCACGAGATTAGCATGAATAGGAAACGTGGGCTTAAGTTACCTTACACCAATCCCACAGTGGAACAATTCTGGAAAGCCTCACCGTCAGCCCTAACATATAATTGCTAAGCTTCTTTGACCTTCAGAAAGTTGGTCCAATAGTGGCGGAAGTATCACATCTCTGTACCACAACCTTCCGTCTCGTGAGATGGCACCCTCACGGCAGATTCGGTCTCAGAATGGACTCCTTCTGTTCTACATAAGCCAGTGGCTCCTTCCTTGGGTGAAAGAGCGAGACCGAAAGTGAAAATTGAGGCAACCACGAAGCCGGTTTAAGAGTCCGAAACTGTCTCGTTGACTCAACTTCTTTCCGTTTCAAGATACCTATCTATGCCTGCAGTGTTCCTTCCCCCAGTAGGAGACATTTTGAGTCGATTACAGCAAGAGGTGAAAGACTTCAACTGCACTGGCTTTGGCCTTTGGACCTTGTCTTACCCATCACCATCACCACCCTCTTTTCCAGTTCTCCTATTGCAGTCGGCTCACGATATTTCAACATCACTTTTTTCAGCCATTCTTTCATAATTAAATCAAGTCTCACTTTGGACAGACAAGTCTGACAGTCATTCTCTCAACTTCGGTCCTTCTCGGTAAGCCTCTGATGAAAGTACAAAAGGAAGCTCTAGACTCAACACTAACCAAATATCAAGCCTTCCTCACCAAGTTTAAACCAGCCGCTTCAATATTCACAATGGGTAACCTTGTCATCTCCCCCGTCATTTCTACGGTGCTCTTGCTGGGCGGCGCCGGCCTCGTGGTTGGACTCCACGACAAGTTTTCTGCCAGTCGTGCTGCTACGACTTCTACCACTCAGTCTATCGCCGCGCCCGGAATCGATCTGATAACTCTCACTGGAACCGGCTCCAGGGCCACTTATTTGAGATCCTTGTTGCCCCAAGGAACGCTCGTCGTCTCTCCCATCAAGGCCAACGTCAGAGTAGACTCCATCTCCGCGATCTCGGCGATCCCCACTACTACCATCAACTGCGACCACAAGTGGTGTCAGGATGGCACGTCTCTTTGTGCCTACTGGGCCGGCATCACTGGCTGGGATCCTACGGAAGGTCCGGTTCCTGGCGAGACTGTCACCTCTGTCGGCGAGTGCAGCGTTGTTCCTTCCCAGGTTGGAAACCAAAAGCGCGACACTATGAACGAGATGCTCATCACCTCGGTGCCTACTCCCTCAGTCGACTGCAAGTACAAGTACTGCGACAGAAACACCCAGTATTGCATGTACTGGGCTGGAGTCACTGGCTGGGATCCTTCTCTCGGCCCCATCCCGGGCATGACACGCACCTCTCTTGGTGCTTGCCAGGCGCCTCCTACGGCTGCCGTCAACGGCACTACCGTTCCGACCACTATGGTGACGAAGACATGCACGAGTTGCAACTGAAATCAAGCACCAAACAGCGACGAATTTACACTTTCGGAATTCTAGAGGCACACGGGAAGCTTAGTCTGGAGGCGTATGCGACTAAACGTTTTGGTGGAGGAGGCTACTAGGAGAGCAAGGCTCAGACTGGTCGCCAAATAGAAGCTTGCATAAGGAACCAGGATATCTTGATTCTTCAATTTTGTATACGCGAATACGTGAATATGAACGAGTGATATGTACTGAAGAATGGGTGAAGTATGTACGATGTTGCCGTATTGTCCGGCCTTTCTCGAAGCCAGCTCCTACCACTGCTCCTATTCCATGAAGGAAATAGATTTACTTCACGCGGCTGCTCCCAATCGTGTCAGTTTTTCTCAACTCAAAAGGGTTCCCACAGCGTAGACTCACCAGGTCCGGTGACGGAGGTCGTGATAGCAGTATCCTCCACATAGACGCCAGAGAAGAAGAAATCCTCGTTGGTGTCGGCGTAGCCGTCACGGGGAAGCTCGAGAACGCCCAGATGCCAGTCCGCGCCGTTGGACGACGTCGAAGCAGAGACGGGAGCCACGACCTGCTGCAGAGGGGCACTGCCCTCGGAGTGCCAGAAGCCGACGCTTCCGCTTGAGAAGTTCTACGACACAATGGTGTAAGTCCATGCTTCTAAGCCCAACGTGTGAAAAGTACCCTTCCCTCCATACGCAAGAAACAGAAGGGGTACAGAGACAAACTCACAATTTCGTAGGCGACGTTGTGCCACACATCCGGCTTCCACTCCGTCTTCCACAGGCTCTTCTGCTGCACCATAAACTGCAAGTTCATGTTATTCGTCGCCGACTCGCCACTAATCCACCCGCTCTTGAGCTCAGTGAAATGGCTCTCGAAAAACGCAATCTGGTGCTCGCGGAAGATGCTCGGCGCGTTGACATCCTTCCGGGAGATGCTGAAATGGTACCACACCTTGCCCGAGTTGATGGCAGCTTTGGTCTGCGGGATGAGCTCGGTGCGCCGCATGTTTTGGCCGTTCCAGTAGGCCGTGCTGTCGAGCGTGATTTTTACGCCTTGCTTTGACGCCGTGTCGGCCGGGTTCTTGTAGGACGGCGAGAGGTTTACATATTTCGTCACGTCGCCGGACCCGTGGATGTAGTACTGATAGGGCCCGACTTGGTTGGACCAGGACCACTTATTGAGGTCGGAGGAGGAGTTGAAGTCGTTGAAGCGGCCGTCCCAGAGGATTTTGGCGGAGGTTAAGGGGAGGAGGGTGAGGAGGGCGGTGACCTTCATATTGGCGGTTGGACTTGGTTGCGGGAATGGGAATCAGTGACGCTTGGCTGGAGATGCATGGAAAGTGTGTCAAAACTCGTCGGACAGGCTCATCACTTTTATACCATTCACAGACTGAGCACTTGTACGGCAATCCGGGACGGGGAAATATCACGACATTGAATATAGTAGCTCGGCGAACTATAGCAAACGAAGGGGGTTAATGCTTGAGGCACGAACAGGTCACGAGTAATATAAACACACTCCGAACGGACCGTCTAGCCAGGGATGTTCAAGGGGGGAGAAGGGGGAAGCTTATTTATCTACGTCGCATTTGTTCGGACAGCACCCTCCGATCCCATGGTGTAAGCTGTAGACGTTGATTTGGGGAAATCTGGATGCACGGGAGATTTAGCCTGTATGGAGTCTAAAGCCTGCCCACCCCCCACACGAGCACGAACTCGGAGCATGGGGGAAGAAAAAAAGGGGGTTACGTTATTCTGTGGTTAGGGCATGCTGGTTTGACGGGAAACCTTGATTGAGCAATACCCTTTTGACGGGCTCGCGGCCCATGCTGAAGCAACGTTTGTCAAAAAAGAACTCAATGACATCGTGGCGTGAAAAACTGTAACTTTGATGACGGATGAACGGGTGTGGATGACCTTAAGATTCCTCAAATAGTCGCCTTTATCGAAAGCCACCAACAGCCAAGGAAAGCTTGTTCTTCTCCACGTACCGGTTTGGATACCCTCAAGTCCCGTTGCCAAGTCTGGCGTTCGGAGGCAAGTCAGTAGGGTGGCGTCCCAAGACGCGTCGCGAGGGTCACATTCGGAAGCAGACCAAGACTGATAGGCCCTGTTTGTTGCGCGCACACACACGGCAATATCTGAGTGGGAGGGTTTGGCTCCAGATCACACGTTCGCATGGCATTGTCCTACCATACTTCTAGTATCCCAGAGAGCTTCCATTGTGTACGGACAAACACGGCTGAGCACAGCGTGGCGGGTCACTGATGTTGCGGAATACCCTTGAGTGTTAACGCCTCGCCATCATGGGGTACCGTTGAAGACGTTTTCGCCGTATGCTGATATAGGACCACGGATATGTATGGACGATGATGCGGCTCCGGGTTAAACTTACACCACTAAACCTGTGGAGCAAAGGGAAGATCGTAGTAAACTTTCGAGGAATACACTCTCGATATATCCCCCACGCACAAAGGTGATGATCACGCTGGCATTATTATGGGCCTGTTTTGAACATTGACATCTGGGCCTAAGTGGTTCTCAACCACCTCCCGTCTCTATTGATGTCCCATAGCCATCAACTATAATATCTATTGGCCGCCTCGTATAGGCGCATACATTAACTTTGTGCAGGACTTGTTCGAGCCTTCGAGGCTCAACAGCGGCACACGGAACCGTGTATAGATCACGAGAAGCAGTAACCTCTGCGTCCGGAGAAAGTCGAGAGAGAAGTGTATAAAATTCGCTCTTCTGACTCTGTCCAGTCTCTCTCTCTTTCTTCCTCTACACCATTCAGCGACTTTAGGTAAGTATACATCACAGAATGCCCAACACTTACAAACGAATAACCATCAACGCCACCAATCCAAGATACTTCATCTCACATCAAACACAACAACATCAAGATGGTCGCCGTCAAGACCACCCTCGCTGCCACGGGCAACCTGGCCCTGGCCAGCGCCACCTCCTTCACCACCATCACCACCATCACCACCTCCACCACCTCGGAGCCCGCCACAGCCGTCGCGACGCTCACCAACCCCGTCGCCCCGCCCCTGCCCCTGGCCACCGGCTCCGCTCCTACGGAGGCCATGATCGCCCGCCGTAGGGAGTGGTGCAAGGAGAATAACTCCGACAGGCGCTGCAGACCAGGCTGGTACGAGAGCCCGGACAACTACGCCGGTTCCATCAAGTACTGCGTCGACTTCTATCTCCAAGAGTACAAGCAGAATCCTACCAAGGCTGGCTGGATCGAGGTGGCCATGGACAGGTCCGGGTCCCCCCCTATTAACCGCGAGGCGCCCGTCAAGAAGCAAGATTTCGACGCCAGCCTCAGCGAGGAGGATCCCCAGAACGCTGACGACAACGAGGGCGTCGACAACGAGGGCGTCGACAACGAGGACGACGATAGCGAGGACGAAGACAGCGAGGACGAAGACAGCGAGGACGACGACAGCGAGGAGGAGGATGACAACGACGATGAGGACATCGACGACGACACCGCCAAGGTCGCGGCGGCTCTCAGGGATGAATACGGCTTCTCCAACGAGGAGCTCGCCACGCTGGGCCTCGCACTCCTCGAGGATGACGAGGGACAGGACAAGTTCGATGCCATCATTTCCTCTGTCATCGGCTTCCCCCCAAAGTTTGGTCGCCCACAATTCAAGCACCCTTTCAAGCACCCTCTCACACAAAGCCCCCTTCGCAAGCACACATCCGTTGAATCCCCCCAAAAACCCAAGGGCAAGCAGACGCAGCAGCATAAGAAACACGAAGTAGAGCTTGAACCCCATCACAAGCCCATTAAGCCCCATGTCCATGAGGAAGCTCATCATGAAGACGAAGAAGAAGACGAAGAAGAAGAGGGAGCGGAAGAGGGAGCGGAAGAGGGAGAGGAGGAGGAAGAGGACCATCACTAGGCCTCGCCCTCAAAAGGCCACAGTAAACGCATTTGAAGACCGGCTCCTATTTCTCGGGTCCTCATCGAAGATCTAGAACTTGGACGACTGCCAATGTTCAGTTCAACTTTTTTTTCTCTTTTTCAGGGGAGCCATCGTTAACGGAGTAGGACGGTGGGAGGCGCGGCGTGCGATTTTCTGTTTTTCCTCTGTCTTTTCAAAAAGTTTGTTCTAGTAGTTTTTCGTTACACTGGCTGGATTCGTCGATTTCGAAGCATCTAGTTGGATGGCGAAGATGAACCCCAACGGCCTGGCAAGCATGCGTGGGCATCTTGCCATTGTAGGCACCTGTTGGCGGTGAAAATGGCTTATGACCATAGGCAAATAGCTCTGGTACCTTTGCGTACCTCATGTAGCCATAGTAAACCAACCAGTCAGATAGTAAAGTATATGCCCACTTCCAATTTGTTGCGGCTGTGACGTACTTTTATCAAGGTGGATGAGCAAGCTCTGCACCGAAGTGAACCCCTATGTCTGTGTCTCTCCATATTGTTGATCCATACACATATGTGGCTGAAAGAGTGAGGAGATATAGACATTGTAAGCTTTCTTGTGGTATTACTCTTACTACCAGCAGCCTCAGCAGCCTTTGTTCAGTAAGGTTGTCTACCTTGTCTACCAAGGTCACTATAGCTGACCTCTTCCCACTCTTTCACGCCTTACACAAAAGCCTAGCCTTTGAAGCTCTTCTTCTCCCTCTTCCAAGTCGTATCCTAACAAAACACTTCCAATCGGAACTCCGGCCATTCCTACCTTGCCTTACGAGCAGGGTTTGAACTCCTAAATCTGTAAAAAACCGGCAAGAAACGCGTTCTGGCTCACCCCTGTCCCCTTCTATCCGTTCCACTGCCAGTGATAATGATATCCTGTCTTTTTTTCCTTCTACAAACCATAGACGAAATGGAAATGGACTGATCTCTTATACAATGCCGAGCGTGCTGACTTGGCAACGCCAACGTCCTTAGCCTAAAGGTTGCCTCTTTTTTTTTTTTCCTGTGGACGTCACAGGAGCTGGAGATGGTGGCCAACCGCCAGATTTGCTATTCTGAAGTGA